TTGGTTTTGGACCAATCAAAGGCCATAAGCCTTAGTTTTTTTTTTTTTTAACACGGAACCCTAGCTACTTAATAAAAATAGATAAGACTATTTTAAGGTAAAAAAAAAAAAAAAGTGGCATCACAAACCAAGAAAAGAAAGAAAAAAAAGCCAAAAAAATAGAGAGAAAAGAGTGAAGGGAGAGTTAGTTGAACAGAAGTCGATCCATAATCTAATTGAACTGAAATTTTATTAGCAAGTTTATGATTCAATGTTCTATATTTTGAACGATGAAGATTGGGTTTGAAGCTCTCTATGAACAAATCCAAAGTATATTTATTGAGTCACCTATTTAGTGAGATTTTTTCAATTATTTTTTTAGTTATTGATTAGCTCTAGTTTTAGTAAGAGAAGAACTTTGTATATCATATTTGATAGTGAAGATTTTTCTGATGGTTCATGATTTTTTTTCTCTACACTGAAAGATTTTTCATGTAAATCTTGATGTATTTTATTTTTCTTACATTATTGATTGTTGATTGTTATTTATTATTGTGAGTTTATTACGATATATTACTTCCGTGTTGTTGTATTTATTGCTTTAAACTCAACATAAATCATGTATAAATTTATATAATTTAAAAGAAACAATTTATTTTATCATCACAACTATACAATTAATCCAACTGCAACAATTTACCATATACTATATATGTGAATGAATGAGTTTGTTAACTTAACACCCTCGTAGCACAAAAGCTACAGCACCTTTAATTGGTTTCATTTTATTAGTTTATCTTTTAAAACTCTAGTTTGAGAAATATCTTTCAACTATAAATTTATTTATAAAGTGATGAAATTTGTAAAAATTACTGCATATATTACTATAACTTTTCTCATTAACCAATCAAAATTATTATTTAGAAATATATGTTTTGTTCAAAATTAAGGGAAGTCTTAAGAGAGAAGGAATTTAAACCTTCAACTCTGAATTATTGTTTTGGTGAAACTTGTTGATAAATTCCGGATGTCTGTCACTCATGGTCACGATTACATTGGTCATGCTTGGAAGAAGTTAGCTGCTTCCTGGAAATGATAAAGAAATCGAAACAAGTCATTATTTCTCTGCCGGCCACCAACTGTATTCAAAGCAAATTTGAAAATTTAGTCAGCAACATTGGCAACTCAAGCGCAAAGCTAATCTTCTTGTTTGGTTTCCAACTCCTACAGTAATTACTTGTCTGATTTGTTGATTGGTGGCTTGATAAAACAAGCCGAAACAATTGACTTTTGTGAGCCATTAAAATCTTGGCAGAGGCAGCAGAATTGAAAGAAGAAAAACAGGGCAGCCACAAATGTTGTAATAAACAAATGGAAATGTGGTAAAAGAAATCTGCAAAATCTTGGGAGATGAAAGTCAGCACTTGTAAATTTCTTTATTTTTACACTGAAATTTTTTTCATCGTTTTGAACCGTCAAAGTTGGCTTTTAAGCCGAATCAAGTAAATTTTGGTACTTATTATTTTATTTTTGTTGTCAAGTTTTTTTATTAAAATAATTTATTCTGATTGCGAAATCTTGACATTATTGCACAACATGGTTATCATCCCGTTGAAACATGGTGCTTCCGTAACCACGTATATACTGGTGAGAACCTTCCCTATTCCGCAAACCAATTTGCCGTTCTACCCTCACTGCTGCTAGTTCTTCTCAAGTCCAACTTTCTTGACCCAAAATTATTAATATTATGATTCTCCCCCCCAACTCCATGAATTTCTCCCACCCCTGATCATTTGGACTTAGAGCACCATTCATTATTTGATTAAACCACTTAACATATCCAGTGACATAAGTGTAACTAGCAAATTAGTAATAAATTAGGAATATCATGACAGGTTTAGGTAACTTATAATACCAACAATACACTTCCAAAAACTATTTATGGTTTTATTCAGTATGCCAAGAATACACCTAATTGCTAAACAAAGGGAGTTGGTTTTCGTTTCCATCTACATTAGTGTAACACTCCGTTCTTTCCTTCTTTTAAAGCATGACCTAACTCAAAAGGGATATCTGTGTGGTGTCTGATTTTGGAACAGAGATTTAGTCTGACAAAAAAAGAGAAAAACCAACAACACCCTTTGGTGAAAGACGAGGAGATAGTTTGGAGTTCGGAGTCAGAGCCTTTTAGCGGTTTTGTTGTAGCAGAACTCAGAGACATACGCTGTCACCCTAACTCTTGTTTCGGGCCAGAAGTTCAAATGGATAAAAATTGTCCATTGCTTGTAACTGGGCCAATAGCTTTAGTTTCTAGATCTGTTGCCCTCAATGTGAATTGGGTTCTTTTCCTTTTTCTCTTTTCCTTTGATCAGATTTAGTATTAATGATGTTATGTCTAGTGTTTTTCTTTTCATGGAACTTAGTAAAAGTATCATATATAAAGATTGTGGCACAGCCAAAATCCCTAACGAGCAAACATAATTTTTCAATCTTGTTAGTGTAACAGGAAATATAAAATCTCACCAAATTCATCTCTTTTTCTTAACTTCAAAGTTATGATTTAGATGAACAATTAAATATATCTTTTATTTTTTCTTGTACTCGTAATTAAATGCATATTTTGGGTGAAGCAGGGTCAAGTAAAGCCCGAAGCAACATGTGCTTCTTGGTTCCCACTTTCTCCTAATTTCTATCCTTTTCATCATTGTCCTCCTTGCTAGACCAATTAACACAGTCCACATTAATATTAATGGCCTTTTGGCAACCTTCTAACTTACAAAATAGATTGCTCTCAAAGTTTTCACAGTGGGGCTTGATTCTTGAAGCCTTATCATGAATTTTGTAAGACAATAATGACTGTTCTCAGCCTTACATTTTGGCTTGTGCCTATTTTCTGACACAGTTAATTATTCCCACATGAATATCAGGCATCTCAAGGGTTGAAATTGGAAACAGGTTTTTTTTCCTCAATTTTCACGTTAGGCATGAATAGCATAAGATTTTTTTCTCCTCAAGGCTCAATTGGTAGCAGCCAAGCTAATACGCTCAACACAAGTATATCAGTAATACTCAACTGTTTTGCAGGCTATTCATTTCCTTGGATTTACAGCAGGTATATGAACTCTGATAGTTACTCCGAGAGAGGCTGTTTTAACCGATGGATGGGTTGTGTAATTCTCGTGCAGTCTGCAGCATTTCTTCCAACAGCGAAGGTAAAAACAAATACTATATCTTGAAAGGAAAAGATGCCATAATTGGTCACAAAGGCACTAATTAACAAAGGCCAGTATGTGAATGTAGTCAAAGGCCTAGTGATGGTCCTCATGCACCATCTTATTAACATTATTTAGATCCTCATTTGCCACTCACAATAATTTTATTGCTTACTAATAATTAGTTGTATTTATTCAAGTTAGAGTCAGAGAATGAGAGCCTGGGAGATTTGGCTTTCTGAAAAGGAAAAGAGAATCATTCTTGTTCTTTTAGAAAAGTTGAGTATGAGAAGGAGGCTATGAGTGATGGGTGAGTATTTATTCTTTCAACATTTGGGCCCTTTCACAGCTGTCATTCCCTCCCACAACTCAAGGCTGCTTTGTTTTCATCTCCTAAAATCACTCATCTTTTTTACATTGAGAACAATCAATAACAAGCTCTCTCTTTCTCTGTGTCTCTCTGCCCCATCCCCCACTTCCCTCAGTAATGGCAGTATTATATGCATGTAATATGTACATGTTGGTATGCGCATATATAATAGTATCTCAGGAATGGTCCATATTTTTCTAATAAAGAATGATAACTCTACCTTGAGGGCAAAGGGAAAGGATATCATATCATAAGGCAAAACTCAAAGCCTTAATCTGTCTGTTTTTTCATTATTTCAAGCCAAATTAAGTACTTGGACACGGTTTGAGGTTTTGGTCTCCGGTTTCAAAACTGATAACACTTTTATTAATCAGGATCAAATCGCCATAATGAATTAGGTGGGAATATAAATGGTAAGCTGAAGATACCGATATCAAAACTTCAATGCCTCAAAATTTGGATATAAATATAAAGTTTATATTTGATGCACTATTAATATACAGATTTTATATACTCTCAACGAAATATATAGTGCACTTGGTCCCCTCAAGCCTCAACCGCCTTGAAATCATATCATGGAAAATGCAACACCACAATAAGAAATCCTTGCTGCCCTCTCTGCCAACCAAGTTCTTTTCATATGCTAGCTACATTGAGGATTAATTGGAGAAGGCTATATGGTTGTGCTTGGACCCCCAAAGTTAAGTAGTAGAATACTAGAATTCTGACAAGTAGCAAGGTGAATGAATCCACATTGTATCTCAATTTCCAAGTATTGCTCTTGCATTGCAATGTTCCTCCCAAGAGAAAAGAGTGAAGGATTATAAAGTAATTTCGCTCAAATGTCTGTTAGAACTTTAGAAAAAGAGGAGAGTTGGAAAAAGATGGAGAGGCCCATGAAGCTTAGAAGGACTTTATCATAATTCATTGAAGAGGTTCCCTCCATGAAATACAGTAAAGCTCAGCTCTTTTTTTAATCATACTGTGATTTCTTGGAAGGCCCACAACTTTGAACAGATGAAACTCATCATGAAAAAGATGGAAAACTATGAATCGTTTGACAGATATCTAATTGTACATTGCTAGATTATCATCAACTGAATCAACTTTTGGGTCTTTGTGGTTTCAGTTTTTCAAGGAAAAAATGGCTTTCTTCAGTTTTCTAATTAAATTCCTTCACTATCACTTTTCTTGGTATTTGGTATAATAAAGAATGGTTAGGCAGTCCTATCTCAACTCATATATCCAAGTTCCCAAGGACCAAGCTTTTTGAAGCGGTGATTCCTGTTTGATTCTCCAAATGGATTCCAGGAAATGGGTAAGAATGCAGTCAACCTTTGGTACAGAATTCATATGGAATTTAACACTATAATATCAATTTTGAGTTTTTGACTTTTGATGAAATGCTTGAAAAACTTTGGTTCTTTCAGAAGCTTTGACTGAGCAAAGTAACCATCATTATCTATATATGTTACTTCCTGTTCTAGCTTTCCTCCATTTTTCACCTTTTCCTTTCTATACAAGAATGTTGTTGTGGTCGGGTTAGGATGCAGAGCTGTAAAGACTCAGAATTACTGAAAATAACTTAAAATTTTCCCTAAGGCGATATCTCTTCAATGACTAAGAAGAGCTGGTTCAATCTAGTGAAGAGGTTTTTTCTCTTTGAAACACTTTCAAAAACAGATAAGGTATTTTTTCTTTAAATGTCCCTATTTATTTATTTCATGGATGGCTTTCATTGATGTTATCTATTTCTTAGAAGGAGAAAAGAAGGAAATGGATGTTTGGAAGGTTTAGGACCAAAAGGTTGGCATCCCTTACAGCTCCATCACCATCAAGAGACAGGAAAAAATGTGAAAGAGAGGAAGAACATGACAAACATGGTTTAACTGTGGCTATTGCCACAGCTGCTGCCGCCGAAGCAGCTGTTACAACTGATCAGGTTGCGGCCGAGTTTGTCCGGCTCACTTGTACCCCTCAATCTAAACATAAATGTGAAGCAGAAACAGAAGAACAAACTGTGGATGTTCAACCTGATTCCTCTTCATCTAATGAGCATGAGAGAAGGATACAAGAACTTGTTGCCACAAAAATTCAGGCTGCCTTTCGGGGCTACGTTGTAAGTTCTCTTGTTTCACCACTATTGAACTTCCATCTTTTCATTAATTGTTTGTTAGTGATTTTTCATTCTAGTATCTTGTAATAAATCAGGAAAACTGAGGTGTGGATTTGGCTAAGGAAAAGAGTTCTGCCACAAGAAAATCTGCATATACCCATTTCTTTTTCCCCTTAGTGCTTTTGGTTTATTGAGATTTGAGAGAGTGGTCTCAGTCATAAGTGTTCCTCCAAAACAAACCACACTGACTATTATAAACACAAATTGCACCATTGATTAACTCCATAATGGATTTTAAAGTTCTTGTGGAGAAACTTGTAGGCAAGGAAAGCTTTGCGGGCACTGAAGGGGATAGTGAGGCTTCAAGCAATCATCCGAGGCTGGGCTGTTAGACGACAAGCAAGGACTACTCTAAAATGCTTACAATCAATTGTAAATATTCAGTGTCAGGTTTGTGCAAGGAGATTCCAAATGGCAGAAGGTACTTGGCAATATGATGAGAACAAACAGTTGCTGACATTGAAAGACAAGATTATTAAGGTATGTGTCGATGATGCAAACCACACTAATCCAACTCCTAAGAGGATGTCATTTCTTGATGTGACAAGAGCTCCATCTAATTACACTGGATAAAATGATCAAAAAATTACAGGTGGACATAAACAGTCAAAGAAGATGGGATGATAGCATTTTGACAAAGGAAGAGGCGGATGCAATGGTTTTAAGCAAGAAAGAAGCAGCAATCAAAAGAGAGCGGATAAAGGAATACTCGTATGTTCATCGGGTAACCCTCTTTGGCTTGAATCCGTCTTCAGATTTTTATTTACCTAGTGCATTGTTCTAAGGAGTTAGAAAAGAAAATTGCAGAAGTCAGCAGAATCAGAACAGAATAAGGGTAATGGAAGATTAAAGTACTGGTTAGACGAATGGGTGGATACTCAAGTCACTAAAAGTAAAGAACTTGAAGATTTGGACTCGGTTTGGACTTCAATCCGCAGGCCTACAGAGGAAACCAGAGCTAAACAACTAAAGCTGGAGACCTTTCCAAGACAGTATCATCATCATATTGATGGTTTGGATTCTCCAGCACCAGTTCCACGAAGATCGTTTCACAGAAAGCAGTGTTCTTTGGGAGAAGACAATTATTTTTCGACCTCTCCTGTAGTTCCAACATACATGGCTGCTACACAATCTGCTAAGGCAAATGTAAGATCAATGAGCTCACCAAAGCTAAGGCCTGGAAGTTTTGATACGCAGTCTGAAAGCTACTCACCATATAAGAACAAGCTCTCTCTTATATCTTCTGTTACACGTACAAGAGAAGCGCCCAGCAGTTGTGGGATCAGTAGTAGGCCTAGCGCCTATCAGCAGAGATCCCCTAGCCTAAAGGGTGTTCCAGGTCCTGTAAAATCAAAGCGACCTTTGAAGGATCTGAGCTTTAACTCTGGGTGTTCGTTACCTAATTGGGTGCGAGAAAGCACCTTCAGATGATTCTTCCGTTCTGATTATTTGGTGATGATAGCAATTCTTTTTTATTTTGTTGGTTTGAAGTGTAGATGCTACTTTGTGCTTAACAATTGAAGACATCCAGTTTCATGTATGACTGATCTTGACTCCTCAGATACTAATTAACTACAAAGCTACAACAAGAAGGGAAATGCTCCGGGAGTTGCCAAGGTTGGGACCCTCCATCATTAGGCACTCACATCTCCTTGGCCCACGAAAAATAGCATTGGTTCCAATACCCCAGCCGTGCTACTTCACCGAATGCACCATTGGATCCTCTCACTGCTGAAAGCTCGAGTTTCAGACCACGACTATCCTTAACCTTTCTCCAACTTAACCACAACAAATTGAGGAAGCAAATTCTACCAAAGGAGCCATGTCCAAGGCACAACCATTCTACTAACCTAAATTGCCTAGACATCATTGGAATAATCTCATGATGCTGAAAGTTACCTAGCCTCTTCAATCTGTCCTTCATGGTAGATAAAACTGCTAGAAAAAGAATTCCAAGGGAAACGAAAGCAAAGACGTAAAACACCAAAATCTTTAGAATAACATACGAAGCGTCAGAGCTTGCTGCGACTTCAAAGGAAAACAGACTTTCTCCTAAGTGCCACACATTCCTATTGCTGCCTGCTGCATGTGTCACACCCCGTGTGAGGGAATTGGTCTATGGTCGAGTCAGTAAAAATAAATAAATAGGAATTTTGACCGCACGTTTGCTAAGCTTAAGACCGAGCCACGTGACACATGCACACGCACTAGGGAGCCCAGTTTTTCTTTCCTATATTAATCACAAAAATCTTCTTTATTTTCCTTTCAGAAAAAAGCAAACGTCTCTCACTTCATCAATCGATGCAGGTGCCAACTTTTTGTCAATTCTCTCCCAAATTTCTTTTGTGATGCGATATGCTTGTCGATAGACTATGATTCAGTTCCAATATTTGCTATGGGTCTGATTCCATATACATGGATTTCAGAGTGTAAAAGAGGCCACAACCCATGGTTACAACCAACTAGACCCAAAAATGCAGAACAGTATGGGCTGCACTTTAATTTTAGGTATCTCAAACTTACAGGGCTTTGTAGACTTTCAAACAAAACTAAGAAAAAAATGGGCCTCTGGTGAACCTCATATGTTATCATGAGTGTATTTGATGCTCGAATAATTCCTTACAATCAGCAATCAAGGGAAAAAAGGAGTCTAAAGTGCAGCAAGACCTAGAATTAGAACAATATACGAAGGGGAGAAGCATAAAGATTTTGAAAATACCATTATTGAGGGTACAATCAAATACATGAATCAAGAATGTGCTTGATATTTTATTTATCAGTTAGAAACTAGATTGAAACATAGCTTCTAGCTTGACGTATAGAAGATTTCTTTTTCAATTCTTTCTCTCTTTCAAGCTCTAGAATGATTTTCGAAGTGCAGAGGCAATTTGCCTTTAATGCTTTTTGCTTAAATTAAACAGTAATATCACTATTAATTAAAGAAAAACCAACTCCTAAACAAGTTTTAAGTAGATGAAGTATTCCGTAGAACTCATGGACTGGTAAAAATCAATTTCGAATTGTTTTCATGGCCACCTTTTCTGCTACAGCCAACTGTTCATGTGTGTTTTATTGTTATTATTGGATAAGTTGTATTTTATTTATCCAAGAAAGCATAGTTCTGCTACAAAGTAACTATCCAATTGTCTGTACAATTAACTGATAGTCTATTCTAGCATAGCGACATTTAGGTTCCAAGCATCACATAACTCTTTATTGACTCTATCTGCAGCAATATGACTTAGCCTTCGAACATCATCTTTAATTCGATTTTGCAGCTGTGTTGTTGTCTCTTCTTTTTGCTTGAATATTCTGAAGTTCCTTTCCCTCCATATGTGATATATGCAGGCATTCCATGCTAGTCTCAAAATGATGAATATCAATGCTTTCCCTTTCAATCCATTTGTTGCCCAGTTTTGTTCTGAACCCCGATTCTCCACTACTCTGCGAATTCTGCATGATTGAATCAACCAGTGCCAGACTTCCTTTGAGAATGCCCAGCCAAAGAGCACATGATCCCTTGTTTCTGCTTCAGTCTTGCATAACCCGCACCTGTCATCTGTCTCCATTCCCCGAGCTCTCAGCCTATCTTTAGTTGGTAGTCGATTCAGTATAGCCATCCAAGAGATCAATGAGTGTTTAGGAATATGGTATGTGAACCATATTAGCCTGTGCCATCTGACCTTTTCTTGCTTGGGCCTAAGGATCTTCCATACAATAGCAGCAGAATACTTATTATTTGGAGAAGGCCAAACTTCTACTCCACTTTCCAGCTTAATGAACTGCCAAGCAATTTGCCTTAGTTGCAAGATAGTTGCAACTTGCAACAACTTCTTGCTACTCCATTCTTCAACCACATGCTTTAGCATAGCCATTGTCGATTGAATAATTATAACATAGTTTGGCATTTGTAATCACAGTTTTACAATAATACAAGATTCAGATTCTTCTTTTTCTATGTATCCTATCTGATCCTGTCCTTTAATTCCTTTTACAAATATTAATGTCAATTTTTTGGCAGGGTGTGTCTGTTGTGAAAGCCTTTTATAGCTGCTTAGTCAGTCCAGCTTAAGCGTCTAACACCCTGAAGAAAATAAACCTGTAGCTTCAGTGGAGCTTTGCCCCATTTTGAAGATGCTATATAAGATACTCACCAGGAGGTACTCAATTTCTTTTCCTCCCTGGCTAGATGATGTTTTTATTATTCCATAAAGCTGTGACTCTCTCTCTATTTCAGACAGGCAACTAGAGTTGCAACCGGATAATTATGTCGATTGAGCTATTATGTATATGCACCATAGTCTAGATTTTCATTGTTTCAGAAGTGTGAGCTGATTCCTCCCTTTTTTTAATTTGAATCAATGTTCAGGGAGTTTCCATTACAAGGCACCCTTGAAGCATTAAGGGGTGGAACAATGAATGATCCAAAAGATCGTATTGATCGAGATAGCAGAAACTCACGTGTTGTACCGAGTATCACTCTTGGTCAAGGACAGCAGCCTTGATAAAAGATGATTATATATGGGCAGATGTGATAAACAAGTGACTAGTGTAGGTTGTATGGTTAAAGAGCTGTAGTGGACTAGTGGAGGTGAATGATTAGAGCAGTAAAGGGAAATGTGATGACAAGTGATCATGAGAGTGTGTTCTTCAATTCCTTAATTTTTTTTTCTTTCTTTTTTTTTTAGGTGTTATCCATTTGTAAATGTCGTGACTAGCTGAAGGCATGTAGTGGCTTCATCTTTTTCCTGTTACCGAATTCATTGGTGAAAGTGGCTAATTGTTCAAATTAACCTTAGCTTTTGCAAAAACCATTTAGGATAAATTAATTGACAAGCTTGTGGAAATGAGAAGTTTGAGTGCATTGCGAATCCACTGGATTTCATGTGCGTCTTTGATTTCTTATCAATGCATTGCTTTGATCAAGACAACTAGTGAATTTATTGGGTTTACTGTCGAATAAATTTGATATAAAAATTTACTTGCATTCTAACATTTTGTAACGGAATTCATTGGGGTAAGGCAAGTTTGGGATTGGGACTAGGTGGTTGTTAATTCACCTATAGACCTAAGTACTATATAAGGCGGTAAGGCCATTTAAACAAGGCTGCAGTTGGAAGGAAGAGGCCATTTAAAAATTTTGCTGTACAATGAATCATCTATATACTCCTACAATAAATATATATATATATTTTTTTGCCAATGAATTACGACCATTATTGAACTGATTTCCTGTTAGTCTGAAGCTGGATGTACGGACGGGTTATTCTGATATCTCAAATTCTGAATAATGTGAACCTAATTTGCATGCAGCTAGCGCAAGAGAGGAGGCAGCTAGCAGATCGTGAATGATTCATGAACACCAGCTACGTTCCATGGATTCATCCAATCTTTTTCTTTTGATTTGATGACCATGATAGACGGCGGGAACAAGGAAAACAGACTCATTATTTTGTGCATGCATGTATTGCTGTACGGTGCGGGTGGAGGAGCTAAGCAAGCTATCTTGTTTTTAAAGTGAAGTTTTTGTGATTACAAAATTAGACATATTCTTATTAGCCACCCAAATCCACATGAATGCCAAAACCTAACTCTTCTTTTTCCTAAAGAAACAATTTCCACCACCGTATGCATATATATATATATATATATGAACATAGACGAATTACAGAAACCATCCATAGATATGAGTTTAGTTGACATTAATTCTGAAAAAAAGGTCAACCTGCCTAATACAATTGGTAAAAGCCGTATGCTTAATTCATTGCCCTCCTATCATTAAGCAGATTTGAGGCACCAAAACTTTGGGCTAAACATAGAAAGCAAAATTCCCACATGTATGTCGTGGCTTGATTTTTTTGTTTCTAAAGTACACTTCATGTAGTCAAGCCGCCACAAAATTACATGTTTTACAAAACAGTCTAAAAAGATGATAAGATAATCATCAACCCCTATCTTCAACCATTCATCATTGTCAAGAAACGTAAGCAAATGTAACTCTTAATAAAAATATATCACATATAATATACGTTAGTGGGTACGTATTATTAACACAAATCTTCATCAAGTTGGACCTTTATCTTCTCTTGCGCTTGTAAATGATAATTAGAGCATTAACCACTTCCATAAATTTCCTGGAAAAAGTAAACTCCACTTTTTGGGAAGGGAAACTGCCATGGAACGATCATTCCTTCCTGACCTCTCTAACATGACCGGTTTGTACTTATTCCATATACCACTTGCATGCCAGTTGCCACCCTGTTTTCTCTGTTATTGTATTTTCTACCAATTCTTTTTCCTTTGCCTTTAATTACAGACTTCAAGGCCACAGTGAAAGTAGACAAAGAAACCCCGAAACAAGAAATTTAAAGAAATTGTGCTGTGACAATCGCAGAAAAAAGCCATGCATAGCCCTAAAAGATTCCCAGTGAGCAGTGCAACCGTGCACTTTTGTCATACGTGTGGCATCACGTTCACATATAAACTTTAAGATCCAAGGGAGTGTCCTTTCCTTCTGGGCCCTGTCTGTCAACATTTTGTTTGATTCAACCAGAAGCCTAAAGAGAGAGAAAGTGAAGGGCCAATTTTCTATGCTAAATTGCCAATAACGTCTATTACTTTGCAGCAATACTGAGGAAGTCAGGAGCAGAGAAAAAAAAAAAAAAGTTAAATCATTCACTCAATCACATGGGTGGGTGCTGATGGGGAGGACCCACTTGCAACCTGGCACATGCATATATTATTACTACTTACTAAAACAAGAGTAGGACCCATCTTCTACTGCCAACCACCCATGTGATGTTGTGTCTTGTGGTCCTTCCTGTTTCCCCCCCCCCCCCACAATGAAAGTATGACCCCACCCCAATCAATAATGCTGTTGCTGGAGAGATTCTAACAATGAAACAAATTAATTATTGTACTAGTCCTAGTAGACAATATCGTAATAATAAAACGTAAAAGACAGAAACAAAAGAAAATAATCACATTAGAATTTAGAACAACTCTTTTTTCTTCTTTCTGGATTCTGATATATTTTCACTGGTAAACTTTTTCTCTTTATATCTGTCTCATATCATAATCTAAAAGGGTTGACACGGTGTAGCCACTGGCTACAAATAACAGCAAATGCACAAGGTACACTTTGAACTAAATTTAATTAATGTTTGTAACCTTCCCTCTAAACCTCCAGGCAGATCACGTCTCTCCCCCATTTTTACCCCTCAAGGGCCATACACAATACACTATGCATTTACCTTTTCTGCCTCTGGACTGTTTCCCTGCTGTTGATGCTATACAAACACAAAAAGACATTGTGATTACACCCTAACAAACATAGACTAACAAACTAAAAAACTAAATAATGCCCTTTTCTTGTTTCTTCCAGGGAAACCATCGGTACTGAAAAAAAGGAGGGGGAAGAAATTACAGTTCAAGGGGAGTTACAACTACACATTTGACTGTGTGATCCGTTTTTTTCTTCTGTGCTTTTACCTGTGGTCCAAACTCAACTACTGAAACAATAGATAACAAATATTACAACAAAATAAAGGAATGGCTGACCCACTTCCTTCACTGCCTTTTATGTATGCATTTTGTATGGTAGTGAGTAGTATAGTATTGATGATAATGACGATATTGGTTGAGGTGGTTCTGATTGTAGTGGCGGTTCTCTACAGATCTCTGATGTGAATTTTTTTTGTTTGGTTATACTTTCAGTCTTCCTGTAAAGAGAAGCCAACCTCATGAGAGAGAGAAAACATAATTTTGTAAGCATATATATAAAACAAAACAGAAACAATCCATTAAAGAAAAGAATCCTATGCTATCCATTTACCTAAGCATAGGAGCTAAATTCCAACAGGGCAAGTAGGGCCGCCAGTGCCCGCATACATGCCAATGGTCCCATGTCCAGAAGAGAACCTGAATTGAGAGGCACAAGTCAAGTTACAAATCATTTTGATACATGGTATTTCCAATCTTATAAAGATTCCGTCTATAAGTGTAATGATAGCATTATTGAATCAACAAGAGTGGCTCTCTTAGCGACAATAATGTACCTGGGCATTTGGCAGTTGAAGGAGTTGAAGGATGCCATGTCTAATGCATTATTTGCAGGAAGCAAGGTTGAAGAAACCCAATTATTGTTAACAGAAGAAGCTAAGACTGATGCATCCTTATCCGCTTCGGCATTGGAAAAAGCTGACAAGTACTTTCCAGAGGCTTTTGTAGGAGATGCAAAAGGACTATCAGGAAGGTTGTGCCCCAAACTGCAATTAGTTACAAAATATACATAAATTTACAATTAATAGACTATTTGATCATCCGACTGGAAATAAAACCATAAAGATCATACAAATGAACTAAATAGAAATTGAACGCAAATCTAAGCAAAAAATCCTATTTGCTCTTCTCGGTTTAGTCCTAATTTGAAGCTAAGTGCACAAAGTAACATCACTTGTATACCTTTCTGGCAGATCACCATCTTCACAATGAGGGCTTTCCTTGCCACTACCATTCTCTTCGGCACTGACTGATTCTTTACCAGCAGCAGTAGCAGTACTGGTTGCTTGCTTCTCAAGAGCAGTGGTAGATACAGCCGGCAAAGGGCTAGAACAATTCTCTGCAATGAAACATTGCAAGTAAATTTTTTTTTCCAATATAGAATGCCGACTGATATCCACCAGGCAAATTATCACTAGATTGATTTGTTATATTTTAATGGAAATGTGTACCTTGTGGAGCTTCTTGAGTGATGTGAAATTTAGGAAGTACAAGGGACTGGCTGAAAAGGTTTGGTGAGGGAGTCGGTGAAGGAATGGAACTTCCACTAGAAAGAGCCCTGTGATGGTGATGCTTCTTAACATCAAGGAGCTGCAGACCCATAAACCTTCTATTTTGAAGCTCAAGGGCTTGCTGCAGATCAGCTTGTTCCTCCAAGTTTCTCCTCCAGAACATGTCGTGGGTATTGTAAAACATCCTTGCTCCTAATTGTACACGGTTATTGTTAGGCATATGTACCTCACAAGGAAAATAAATAAGGGACAATGTTGTTTTCTAGGCCTCTGCTTACCGAGCTGAAGGTCAAATGGGTCTCTAGAATCAAGGCCAGTTGGAGTACCACAAGGAGAGAACTCTCCTCTTTCCACTTGTTGCTGCTGCTGCTTCCTGCAAGATATCAAGTAGCCATAAAAATCTAGATCAAGTAAACAAGTCTTGCGAAAATAAATATTTTAAGTGTGAGAGAGAGAGTGCCTGTACTTGTCTGGGACTTTTCCTTTCTCCTTGTAGGGCTTCACCAGGACCCGAGCGTCGCAAACAAAATGAGGATTCCCTTTAGCCAGAATGATCTTCACGGTCTCAGGATAAACAAAGGTAACAAATCCAAACATTCTCTTCTGCTGGAATGGTATCCTCACATCTTGAACCGGTCCATAAATTCTTCAACGAAAAACAATTATTTTAGCAACAAAGGTGAATTTCACCAAACTGCACTAACATAGAACCCAATAAAAGCACCGTTTTCAACAAAAAACCTGAAATAATTTGACACATCCTCTTCTCTGAAAGTGCTATCAGCTGGGAAAGTCAAGTAGATCTGTCTTGACGCTGGGTTAAGCATTCCTGTTTCACTATTTATAGAGAAACCGTTCCTTTCAAGCCTCGAACGGTTAAATTTGTTCATATCATCACCCATCACCAAAGCAGCAGCCGCTGCAGCCCTATAGTTTCAACCAAAAAGAAATCATTTAACATTACCACACACCAAAGAATCAAGTCAAGACTCATCTTTTACTACATACTAGATAGCACAAGAAGGAATAATTCACTAAGTACCTCTGACTATCATTTTGTTGCTGTTGAAGAAACAAATTCATGCACTTTGGGGAGTAAGGAAAAGAAGCAGAAGCCACAAACTGAGAAGCAGCAGCCAACCTTTGTTGCTGAGCAGATTTAGATCTAAGAAACTCATGGCACTGGTCCATCATCTCAATCTTGTTAGGTGATCCAACCAAAGTCGCATCATCTGTACCAGCAACCACTGAACCAGACTCCCCAAGCGCACCATGGATAAATCTGCAACTATTCCCATTTTTACAGTACCCTCTAGCAAAATACAAGCAGGGTCTCCACCCAAACCCTGAAGTTGGGTCATCAGCTCCCAAAATATCGCTCACAGAGCTACTCCTCCTGTGAAACGAGCTTCCCCAATATGAGGAGAAGCCTATAGCGTCAGTGCTACCACAAGCAGCAGCAGCTGCTGAACTCGAGGACAAGTCAGCTGCTTGCGGATAGAACAAATCATGGTTTTCGGGGTTAAGCTGCGGCGAGCTTTCATTGAGGAAAGATAGTGGGTCTTGAAGTTGAAACTCATCAATCATATCAGTAGCTCCTCCATTTCCATAGAAGTGTAAAGGAGAAGGGTTTAGAGACCCACTGCTTGGACTGATCAACACATCAGGATTTGGAAGATCAGATAAAGCACTCCAAGAAGAACTACCAGGAGAAGTAGAAGAGTTGGTAGGGATCGTGAGAGAAGATGGAAGATTGACTCCACCGTTGCCTAGAAGCCTGGAAGCAGATGAACTTTGTCTTGAAATATTAACAGGGTTTGGGTTGTTTGCAAGAAAAGGAGAAGGAGATAACGGGGTTGAAGGTGTTGAAGGAGAGTTCGTGGGAAGACCAAGCTCCTTTTTTGCCTTGAGAATCACTGAGTGAAGTAAAGCTTCAGGACCAAACGCTAAACGAATCATCTCCTTCTCGCCATGATCTTGAATGAGCAGTAGACCCATGATTTTGGAAGCATTTTCTGGTTCCAAATTTTGGATTCTTGAGAACACGACTCTGGTTGCTTCATAACCATCCATTATGGAAAGCACACCAGCCCCCAACCGTCTCCAAATATTGTTTAGTTGCTGTATACTTTACTTTTCTTCTATGATTTTGAAAGAGAGTGAGTAATTGAATGTTTTGAGTAAGGTGTTTACAAGTAAAACATCTTTCTCAACCACAAACTCTACCAACCAACTTGTGATCAGTTAGGCGCAGTGCAGTGTCTCTCTATCCTTCCCTCTTTCTCTTATATTCCTGAAAAAATGAAAAAAAAAAAAAAAAACTCCATGAAAGAAACATAAAGAAAATAAATTGATAGAAAAGAAGGAAAAAGAAAGCATTAAAAGGAGAATTCCCGTGTGGATATTTAAAGGGAAGAAAACATGGTGGTTGAATTTATTTATAAAGCAAACATGAGCAAAAGTTGCAGTAAGATAAAGGCGAAAGAGTAACAACAACGCTTGTCCTTTTTATTTTTCTCCGCCTTTTTCTTTTTGCTTGATAGATAGATAGAGAAGAAGTGAGAAGGGAGAGCTTCCTAGTTCCCAGTTTGTAGTTCCATTTCTTTCTCAATGTTTGAAGTAATTAATTTGAGAAAACAGTATTTGGGGTAGGAGAGTAGGGGCTTTACCCATACAAGAGAGAAAGTTTGTGAATAATAGGGTGTTCTGCTTCTGACCCGAAGATTAGCAAAAGGGTCAAGTGAAGAAATCTATGGTTGATGTTGTTGTTGTTGTTGGTGTCTCTGAATTAGCGCTTTCAGCTTTCAAAACTTACTTCAAAAGCCAAACCACCGCCCTCTTTCTTTCAAGCCTCTGACAGTGAGCAGGGGGAGCAGCAGCAGCAGTAGCAGAGGATTATCAATTGCTTCACTGCCGCTGCTACGTTTTTGGGTTCTGGAGCCTATAGTGGGCAGTCAAAGCTAAAGGCATTGGAGCATACGGAGATTTTCTTTCTTCTTGTTTTTCTCTGTGTCTCTCTCATATGAAGTTATAAATAAATAAAACGAAAAGAAAAAGAATGGCAAGTGGCAGTGAGAGTGTGTTGGGAGTCGGGGTGATTTGAGTTGAGTTTGGGTGGATCCACAACTGTGCTTCATTTTCTATTTTAGTCATTTTCATCTAGAGTGTAAATAAAACATCAATTAAGCCTTAATTAGAATAAAATTTAAATGTAATTAGATTATTATTGAATCAAGTTTCAATAGTTGATTTATTAAGTGAATTAAATTTAAATATTTTTAATATTTGATTTAAATAATTGGTGAGTTTAATCAAAATTTTAAATTTTAATATATTTTTATTATTTTAATTAAAAATTATTATTTTATATATATTAATTCGAGTTTTAATTTGAATTTTGAATATATTATTTTAACTTATTTTTTATTAAATAAATTTAATTGAGTGAGTTAAAATAATTTAATTTTAATTTCAAATTAAATTTAAATTAAATATTTAATTAAACTGAAATCAAATTTTGATTCAAACTTAAATTTAAATTTTTATTATATGGATTCGATTACACTTTTACTTTCATCTCTCACCAATGAGTCCTAACTCTCTCTCACTTTTCATTACATTTTTTTTTTATAGTTAGAGTTACTTAAACAAATATATTATTATTATTATTATTATTATTATTATTATCCTCTGTCGTTGTGTTTTTTAATCTTACCTTCATATATAATATGTAATACTTAAGTTAGACATGATAATTTTAAATATGATTCGATGATACGATATAAAAACAATATAAAAAAATTTAATATGTATTTTAAAAAAATATGTTTCATATTTATTCATGTTGATACAAATTTCAACATGACATAATTTGTGTCTTACAATTATTAATATATCTAAATACAAGACACAATATGAATAACATATTTAATTTAATCTTATCATACGAGTACACATTTAACATATTTAATACATTTAACATATTTTTTATATTTATTTTAATTTAATATAAATATATAAAGATTATTTTGAATTTTATTTTTTTAAGTATGATACTTAATTAGCTATTTCATATCATAAAAAAATTATTTTAAACAATTAATTATGATACTCATTTAATAATTATTATTAAATTATTTTTATATTCATAAATATAAATATTAATATTAATCTTATACATTATTATTATTATTTTAATCTTTAATAGTTTATCATTTTAAATTTGATACTAAAAATTAAGTAGTTATGTAATATATATTAAAATTTAAATATATATTAAATGGGTATTAAATTTTTTTATTTCTTTAATATGTAAGTATTTTTTATATTAATAACATGCTAAGTTTATTAAATTATAAATAATTTATAATTATTTATTATTTTAATTATATTTTTGTATATATTTAAGTTAATTATATCTATTTATATATATTTATATATTCATATATATTCATATTATTCATATTTATTTGTATCGTATCATATATAATATATATGATAAATATATCAGATTTATATTTAAAATTTAAATATATTTTATCATTTATATTATATTTATAGTTTAATAATTCATATTATTATAAAAATCAAATACGATATAATACACGTTACGAATTTCGAGCTATCATGTCTATTTTAAATTAAAGAACACAATTAATTAAACAAAAGAAGAAATGACGATAGTGATCTAACCCACTCTGTTCCTTTTGCGAGTACGTAATACGCGCCAATGGGAATAAATGGTGATGCAGATTGAGGGACCATTTGGCTTGAATCTAACGTGGATGATGATTGGGAGCATCATCTTCAATTGCTAATGTGGGTCCGACTCTCCAATCAATCGCTCTCTTTACAAAGGGAAAAAATCCTTACCCTCACACTATCTTGCCATAAATTCATTTTGCATTTACGCTATACATAAAGGCAAAAACCAAAATTACCCGTAGTTATTTATCTTACTCAAGTGTTTTTTTTTTTTTTTTTTTAAATTTTGCACACAATGTTATTGGGAGACAATAACCATTATAATATATGTCATTTGTAATAATTCATTACTAAGTTTATGAAAATATTCAAGCAAATCAAAATAAGTTTGATAAATTTTGTTCTAAAAAAGTTTTGATGAATTATAGAAGTATCCAAACATGTTACTCCTTCAATCCCAATTTGTTTGTTTTGTATTAATTTTTACAGAATTAAAAAAACTTCTATTTTAATGTGTTTAATATTAAAATTAAAATTTTTTATAGGATTAAAGTTTCATAATTTTTAATGTTAAAAAATAAAAAAATTACAAAAAAATAATTTTAAAATATAAAAAAGAGTTTTAAATGCTAAAAAAAAAAAAAGACATAATTTTGAGATATTTAAAAAAATAAATGAAAAAAATAAGATAAAGGGAGTATGTTATTAGATTAATTTAAATGAAATAAAAATTTAACACATCAACTCATTATGGAGGATTTTTATGATTTGTACACTATTTGATCACGCCAATGCTAAAAGAATTATTATTATTATTTTCTTTGAGCAATTTTAAATGTGCATTCTCAACCATCAATTTTATGAATTTAGGATTTTATTGTTAAACTTTTATTATTAGAGTAGTATTTCCAAAATAATTGAATCTGTATTAAAAAGATGAACCCCTCTCCTTGCCAATGAATAAAAGAATGTTTATCATAAGCATTGGTTAAGTTGATATTTATAAGAAATATTGTAATTAATACATATTATTTATTTTTTGAATTTAATGAAAATAATGTATTAAATAAAAAAATAAGTTTGTATTTCCTTCCAAAGGGTTTGTAATTTAATTTTTACTTGCCGGCTCTCTTAAAAATAAGTTTTGTTGTATCGATGGATGGATGGATGGTTGGTTGGTTCCTCCTTTCCATGAAAAACAATGTGGTTTTATGAGAGATGCCCCACAGGCAACAGCCCACAAACAAATCAATGACCATGGGTGAATCTCTTGAGGTAGAGACCAAATCATTACAATTCACAGCGCATATACACACACTTTTTCTTCAGCTTTTTAATGTTTATTACTGTGTGAATTATGCATGCATGTGTACAAAAGAGATCAGATAGAGAGCGAGAGAGAAAGAGATTATACTTAGTGGATTGCTTCTTGCTAGCTCCCCCAGTCCCCATTAGATGCATGATAGATGATGGTGAGCATTGAGCAAGGAGCAACAAAAGAAAACTTGAAACTTGAAAAAGCTAGCTGCCAGTACTTCAAATATTTTTCCTTCATGATTCCATGGTTCATAAGGGATCAGAGGGAAACAACGTACGTACAGTGCACCCGCATGAGGGTGTGGTCATGTGGGCACCATTATTATTCTCCTTTTACTTCTATCTTTGAAGCACAAGCATTACTATATATATAAATGCCAATTATTTATTCACTCATGTTATCCAATCTCCCCTTTTAATCTGTTAATTATAATATCCTTTGTTGAAAAAGAAAACTTTACTAGCAGAGTAGCAGACCTTTTTTTTAATTTTTTATTTTTCCCTATATATGAAGTATAAAGTTTTTATCAACTTTAGCATATAAAACAAGTCAAAAAGCATCAGCAAATTTCGCCTAAGCTACACCATTCTTTCAAAAACCAAATATATATGTGTTGATTGATTACTGGTCAATTATCAAGTTGTTCTCTCTCACTTTCTTTAATCATTAATTACTATTTACAAAAGTTGCATTTGGTAGACATGGTGGAAGAAATCAAAGCTCCTTTTGAAGATTTGGTAGTTATCAAATATATTTTGAGATTGTTTCTAGCTGTGCAGATGATGATCATCCCATTCCTCTTTCTTACACTGGTGGCAAGTGAAGTGAAAATGGACATGACCATTTGCCACTTTTATAATATATACTCATAGATATAGGTAGATGCTGTTCCTTTTCCAACTGGGGTCCAAAAGCATGAAATTTAATCATGATTCTTACGTAAATTAATCAGAAGAAATATAGTTATGCGGCTATTATTTATTTATTTATCTATAATGACAAATCTTATTGAGCCCTGAAATTAATTGAGGAAATATTATTAATTTCCAATAGTCTTCTCTTCCCTACTGAAATAAACTGATTTACTAAACTCATTAATTTAATTAGCATGAAGATGCTTAATTATTTACATATGGAAGACTTTAACAAAACAAAACAAAAATCATACAAATTTGGAACGTTATTGATTTCCAACACTCTTAATTTGCCTCCATTTGACTAAAAAGCATATGGTTTTCAAAGAAAACTCTATAAAAATGCCTTGTCTGCCCCTTCTTAATTACTCACCATATCAAATGCAACCTACGTTTTAATTTTCAGGTGCATATTTCCCTGCCTTTCTACAGTTTTTTTTTTTTTTTTTTTGGGGATGAATTTCTTTCTAACCTTTGCTCACTGCTGCATTCTATGCTCTCAGACTGTCTCAAGTGAAGTGGAGGGTGTTGTGTTTCATGCGCTTTGCACGTGAGCTTTGCTTTCTTTCATTTCAGGGTTTTGGTTTCCAATGCCTTTCGGCTGTTGTCCTCACTCCACATGCGAATGTGATGAGAGAAAGAAAGAGATGATAATTTTTTTTCATTTTTTACTTTTTCGAAGAAGAAAGAGATCATTTCACAATGCATAAAGGCTTTTTTTTTTCCTTTTTATGCAAAGTGAGTGAGAATGTCATGACAAAAAGTTAAAATTTAAGCCGTGTCAGAATTAATTGAAGGGTTTATATACACTTCCTAGCTAGGTTATCCCCCTGTTTCCTTGACTCCTTTACTTTTATTATTATTATTATTATTATTATTATTATTATTATTATTAAAAATAAACTTTTTAAGGGGTTTATTTATATGCACAATTTTTTATTTAATAAAAAAAGAAAAAGGTATATTTTTATTTTTTCTCTTATTATTTTTTTCTTTCATTTTTTTATAAAATATTTTTCACAAATAATATTTTTACTTGTGATAACAGTGCAGTCTGGATTACAACCCCAAGATTTAAATAGGATATAATCTCTTATTAAATCTTACTTTGTCGCCTTCTTTAATTATATAGCTTCTACTTGTTGGATTATACTCACAAGTAAGAGTTCTTCTTAGGAAGAATTTTTTTTATTGTTTGGGTCCATATTTTTTTTCCAAAATTAACAAGTGCATATATATTTGAAACTAGAATTTAACCACAGAGGGTTTCGTCTTGTTGAGTCTCGACTCAAGACCTCAAGCCCAGGGGATTGATTTCTATCAATAGGCCTGCTTTTATTTGAGTTGGCCCTAAGCTCAACAGAAGTGAGTATCAATTCCATTTGATACTAAAAAGACCATCTTTTCATGATCAATTTACAAACAATTAACAAGGAGATAATTTCCTAATTGTCATTCAAAGCGTATAATAAGACCTACAAACAACAACCAGGGAAGATAATATTTAACTGTCTTGTGCTATTCCATTTGATTTCAGTTGAATCATCCACACAGATATGGGTTAAGGTGAAAAAGGAAGATTGCATTTACATGCTAGTACTAGTATTGTATAAGCTATTAAGAGAACCACACAAGATATGCTGTTGATGTTGAGTACATGATCCTATAACATACATATGCATTTACACTGGTGGTATCAACCTACGGAACACTCCTCGCATCATCATCATCATTCTATATACCAGAGCATATGATGGACCAAAATAAAATATTTGGAGACTTACAAATAAGCTCTTCCCTTGCAGTTATTTACCAGCTTGAGATGCTCATGGCACCAAGGTTTCAACTGCGTTCACGTGGTATCCTTCAACACTTTGCATTTGATTTATGTTACCTTGACAATTTACAATTGCAGGTTGACAGTTTCCTTCCCAGGATATGTTTGTTTTCTCACCTCCACCCACGTTTGCTACTGCTGATGATGCGGCATGTGGATGGAAGCATGGCAAATCGGTCTGACACTGAAGACCAATTGCATCAGCAGTGGACTGCACCCCACAATTATCACCTTCCTTGAGAATAGGGGCATCGTTACACTGCTTCTGGAAGGGGAAAACACCCAACTCACCATCAATCTTTGCTCTAATGTCTACCAAAAGGCTTCTCAGCCTCAGAACCTCTGCTTCAAGTATTGTCTGTCCTTGTAATTTTCTGACAAGCTGCTGGTTCAGTAACTGCAATTTCTTTACTTCCTCTTCCAAATAAGCAGCATGTGCCTTCTTTTTCTCTCTATATTTCCGAACTGCTTCTCTATTCCCCAAAGGCCTCCTTGGTTTCAAACGAGAGCTGTCTTTATTGTTCTGGTGATCATCCTCTTCAGATGTAATAACTTGGGTATGTGTATGGTAGCATGTATGTGTATGTGCCGCATCAGGGCCAGGCGGATTGCAAGTGTGAGTGTGAGTACATGTTCTGGTATTCTTCAAGAATTCGTCAATTATTAAATCAACAGATGTTGAATCCTGGAAATTGCCAGAGGAATCAGGGTTTGATTGTAGGACATGGTCCGATAGCTCTATCTCCCCATCATCCATGTTTTCTTTTATCGCGTTGCTCCTAACAGAAGCTATTTACAGCTACGCATCACAATTCACAAGCCAAGCGCACATCTGCAAGACAGCTCTAACTTCACATAAAGAACCTCCAACAAAACAGCAATCTTTATATGAATCACACTAATGTATTGAACCAACTCATAACAATATAGTAATCCACAATACATGAAAAGAAGGATTCCCCCACCACAATTGATATGACAATTCAAGAATTTATGCAAAGACGCACAAGGTACCAACAAATGAAATCAATGAAGTGTCCAGAGAATCAGATGTCACAATCAATAATATTGGGTGGGAAACAGCTTCAGAGTGAAAAGCACAGGAAAAACCCTAATTCTCTTCCAAAAACAGGGCTTTTAACATCCCAAAAAGAATGGTTTCTCAGCAATGAAAAGAAAACCCAGATGGAAACTCGGAAGAAGGTGAAATGAAGCATAAATACAAGATTTTGACAGCAGACAAAAGAATCAAAATTAAGTTGTGTAAGAGAAAAAGTAGGAGTTTTTTGGAGGAAAAAAGCAAGATGAAGGCGTAGAGTGCATGGAAATAAAGAATGGAATACCTGTTAATCAATAGTAAGATTGCATGAGGATGATGGTTGAATTCCCGTGGCATTGTCAGGCTACTTCAAGGCAATGGAAGGAGGCAATAAGCGTATCTTGTCTCCCTGCCTCTGATGTAGTTTTCTATGCTTTTTTATTTTTATCTGGGACTGAGTGTATCATATATAAAGTTAATGTCATGCATTCCAGTCACGGACGCTTACTATAGTTTGACCCAACCCTTGCTTTTCTCCTTCTTCAACTTGTTTCTAAGTAGCCTTAACTGCCACATCAACAGTTGCTGTGCTGTTCAACTCTCTGCCTATCATTGTCTTTCTTTCTCCATTTTGTCATAAATCCCAACAAAAAAAAAAAAAAAAAAACAAAACAAAAACCTTAAAGAAAGGTGGGCAGTTGTACGTGGTTGAAAATGGGCCATGGCAGAAAACAAATTATTGGGGTTCTGTTGGGCTTCCAAATCCAATAACCTATAAGAACTGTAAAATGATGGACCTTCTTATGATCACGAATTTCATTAAAAAAAAAAAAGAATCCCAATCAAAAGATAAAGAAAAAATGACCCACATCTCCAACTTAACCACCTGATTTGCTGGACCAAAGCAGAGAAAACAAAAATGTCAAACTTTCGTAATCAGACGAGAGCAGCGGCTTCTCTGATCAGGTGCCTGAAACGGAGCCTCATCGATCCTGCTCGTATGGCTCGCCCGAGATGTTTCACCACGGCGGAGGGCCACCGCCCCACACTCGTTCACAAGCGCAGCCTCGACATCCTTCATGATCCTTGGTTCAACAAAGTATAATTTCCTTTTCAATCTCGCTCTCTGTTCCAATTATGACCTCCATCATTTTAGGTTTCCTCGTTAATTAGTATGCCTTTTCTGCTATAATCAGTATCAAAAGTTCATTGTTTGAATGTGTTGAATGTTAGGGAACAGCATTTTCCATGACGGAGCGAGATCGTCTGGATCTTCGTGGCCTTCTTCCTCCAAATATAATGTCTTCCGAACAGCAAATTGAACGCTTCAGTAATTTTTATTTTATAAATATATTGATGCTGCTGAAGGATGTGAAATCTTTCTATACATGGTTGTTTGAATTTCCATTATTTTCATTTTTTTAATTCATTAATTGCCAGTGGTTGATTTGAAGAGGCTTGAAGTTCAAGCTAGAGATGGACCATCTGATCCAAATGCTCTTGCCAAGTGGCGGATTCTTAATCGCCTGCATGACAGAAATGAGACTATGTATTATAAGGTAAGATTCATTTGTTCGGATCCATGGGGATATCTATAATGCTTTACAAGCTAGTTTTTTAAGTTTCTCCTTTTCCATCTAATCTATTGATATAAGTAATTGGTGTAATTGTTGCTCATAAGGTAAGATTAATTTATTCGGATCCATGGGGAGAAATGGAATTACTTCTTTATTTCTCCTTCTGCTCTTCTCTGAGTTTCATGTTGCTTTTTTTCTTTAAATGGAATGACTTCCTTTATTCTGTCCCCATTAATTGTTTCACTTCTAGGTTGGACTCTAATCCATCTCCCATATGATACATCCATCTTTCTTAACAGTCTTACTTGAAATTAGCTTAAAAAGTGTCAATAAAAATACTCACAGTGACGTGCTGTTAGTGGCTTTCCATGTCAAGAGAGTATATGTTCTAGTATTCAGTGAACCTGTCATCTTCTTGATGATATATCTGAAACACTAGTTTATTTCTGACTTTGACAGATTTTAATTGCCAACATCGAGGAATATGCTCCTATAGTTTATACTCCAACTGTAGGTCTTGTTTGCCAGAACTATAGTGGTCTGTTTAGGAGGCCTCGAGGAATGTACTTTAGTGCAGAAGATCGGGGAGAAATGATGTCTCTGGTTTACAACTGGCCAGCTGATCAGGTCTGCATTACATAAGTTCTTTATTGCTTTGTTGCAACCTTACCTCGTGATAACGTGAAATGGCTTTCTATGGCAATGCTTTAATATGATTTATGCTTGTTATTTTCTCATTTCTTTTTCTTTTGTGGACAGTATATCTCTTTACGTTTTGCTTTATATCCAGCATATGTTTTGAATTTAGACTACCTGCTGGCTTAATGGGTATTTTCTTATAGAGAATTTAAATGTTTGGCACCTGCTCTTGAATTTTGGAACTTGGACATCCAAGTTTGTTCTTTGTAGAAATTTGTTATTGACTCACTGAGTACCTCATTCTGGTACCTTTACTTCAGGTACCAGTAACACAATCATTTGTCTTTGTAGAGCAAAATAGTGCTGGATTATTCTTTCTTTTCAGATCTGGTTTAGTTAGTAACTTTTATGAATTTTGGTATCAGTATTTCAGAAATGCTTTGGTTTTTTATTAAGACAAGTTTTGGTCAATGATAATAAGCTCTTGAACATAAAATAACTTTATAGGATGATAAGCTTCCATTTTGTTTATTTAGTTTTTACTGTGTACAGGTTGATATGATTGTTGTTACAGATGGTAGCAGAATATTAGGTCTAGGAGACCTTGGAGTTCAGGGAATTGGAATTGCAATAGGGAAGCTGGACTTGTATGTTGCTGCTGCCGGGATCAATCCTCAGAGGGTGTGCTATTCTTTCTCTAATCTTGTATTTTTCTATGCTAGATATTTTTGTTATGTCTGTGTTCATAAATGCAAAGTATAACAGTTACATTGGTTAAGGAACTTTTAACTATTGGAATAATTTTATGTAATAAGAGAAAAGAAGAAAGCATGTATTTTCTTCTAATGATTCTCAGTCTTTATGCCTGCATTCTGATGCTGGAATATTGGAATAAGGATTTATATGATAACATCTATAAATATTCATGTGTATATCCATTTTATTTGTTTCTTATCTCCTTACTTCAGATTAACTTTCTTTTCTGAAAATGAGTACAAGAGAGCATGATTTGATTGTGCGTTAGTGGATTTTCATTGCTTGTAGCCACCTAGCAATTCTCAGACACTTATTTTCCTGTTCCATTTTCTATACTTATAAATTGGCAGTTAATATAATACTAATTTTTCTGGTCTTGTCCACCTTGACCATTTACCGAGAATTTTACAAATATTTCCTCTGTTTTCTCCCTTGCATTAGGTACTTCCTGTCATGATTGATGTTGGAACTAACAATGAGAAGTTGCTCAAAGACCCCTTATGTAAGTTTTCCTCACCCAATTTTGGAGAAGCCATATAAAGAATAACATTATTGTGTGATAAGTAGCAAGTAGTATTGCATTGTAAAGTTTGTAAACATGGTGCTGTATCAAGAAAGGGAATTTCAGATGCATGTGTTTGGCAAAAAATGCATGCCAATCTAGGTTTGACATTTTCCTCAATCATCATTGATCCCTTGCTTGCGTTAGCTTTTTGTACTTTTGTAATATTGTAGGATGGCATATGGGGCTTGGATGAATTTGATGGTTTGTACATGTAGAATAAAGGCTTAAGAATGCAATGATCCATAAGAGTGATGCCAGTCCCTGATGTTAGCTTTTGATATATCAAAAAAGATATTTAGAGAAATTATGAGACTTTGACTTCTTCTTTTGATGCCTGTAGTCTGTGCCCTTGCTAGCACTAGCTCAATTTTCATTATCTTGTCGTCTTGTTCTTGCATGCTTTATGAGTCAATTATATGTTTTGAAAAAATATGGTGATATACATGGTACATAATTCTGTCAATAGATCTGGGGCTTCAACAACACCGTCTTGATGGTGATGAGTATATTGCGGTGATTGATGAATTCATGGAGGCTGTTTTTACTCGTTGGCCACATGTTATTGTGCAGGTATAGAGATATGTCTCATCTTGTTAACATAATCTTGTCTTGAATTGGATTGGAGTATCTTTATTGAAGAGATATGACCAGATGTGTACAGTGTAGATAGAGGTTTCTATCTTGTTAACAGAATATTGTCTTCAATTAACTTGGAGTATCTTTTTTTAAGAGATATGAGCATACTTGGGTTTCTGCAGTTTGAAGATTTCCAGAGCAAGTGGGCCTTCAAGTTATTGCAACGTTACAGAAATACATACAGGATGTTCAATGATGATGTTCAGGTAATTGAAATTTTCTCTTGATACAGGATAATCCGTCTTGGCTTGATTTGTTAATGCATAACATTCCATTTGTTTTCACCTGTTTCTTTGGATCTCATATTTTAAGTTCTGTTTGAGCAATGTATAATGTGTTCTTTTGAATATTGCTTGCCATCCCTTTTAATTGCCTTTTAAACTCTATTTGTTTAATTTATTGAGATTTAATTGCCTTCACATTGTCGCTTTATTTTCACCCAATTCACTAAGCAGGGAACAGCTGGGGTTGCAATTGCTGGTCTACTTGGAGCTGTAAGAGCACAGGGAAGGCCGATGATTGACTTTCCTAAACAAAAGATTGTTGTTGCTGGTGCTGGAAGGTTAGCTTTGTAGCCTGCCCTGTGAGGCTTAGTCTTGAATTAACATAATACCAATATTGTGGAAGAGATAACATGGCTATCATTATATTATTCCTATATGTGGCGGTCACTTGTGGTTCTTAGACTTTCATTTTGACACCTGATTTACTATGGACTTAATGGTTCATTCTGTAATCATTATTTTTTCTGAATTGAAGGTTAAAATTCATCACCTATGAACTGCAATTGGATTATAGCAAGTTGATTATACTTGGATTCTTCTACCACAAAAGCAAGAACCTGTTATCATTTTTCTCCCCATGTGTCTGAACAAAAACGAAAGAAGTGATTCCACTAAATGGAAAATGAGATACTTGTCTTTGTTGGCTTTATCTTCTTACCATATGTGGAAATTTTATGTTGTTCATGCTTAGCTGGTCCAGTTATTTGTTTGCTTGTGGCTGGATTTCCCCTCATTCTATCTGTCATTTCCATAAACTTGTTGAATCTGCTGCCTGATTTGTTTGCTGTTTTTGATCTTTTTAGTGTTTCCCTGTGAAAACTATTATGGAAGGCCCTACCTGCTAGTAGGAGACGTTAGAGCTTTTTTCCATAATCTTTATACTGCTGCAGTGCAGGAATGGGGGTTCTCAATGCTGCAAGGAAAACAATGGCTAGAATGTTAGGAAATAACAAGACTGCTTTTGACAGTGCAAAGAGTCAATTCTGGGTTGTTGATGCCAATGTGAGTAGTATAATCTGTTAAAACTCCGGAATTTTTAGTTAGCAAGTTGTACTTTCAACTTTCAAGGAATATATGTTGCTTTCAACGTTACCCCATAATTTTTCATCTAATATTTCCTCTTGAAATTGGAAAGCTAACAAAGAAGGCAGTAGGTAGAGGCATTGGACAGGAAGATAGAGCTGGTGAATTGGTCCATAAGCAACTTCCTACTATGTTATGAGTTATGACTGTCTTGCTTTTAAAAGAAAGGACCATCATAAGTAGATCAAAAGATGGCTAAAATAACTATTTGATTGCATTCCTTGTTATCAATATCACAACACCATTTCTTGTGGTGTCTTAAAGCCAAAATAACCACTTCATTATACGAGTTTCGTTTATACATGCTAAAATAACCACTAGATTATCTAATGCATTACAGAACTATTTGAGTTCATTCTTACATTTGTGCTACTTTGGATTCTGGCTGTTAGAATGTGATGGTTCAATGCAACCTTCACACAGTTATCTTCCCTTGATGGAGAGCGATTTTTATTAGATATACGTTCTAATCAAATGTGTTGTTTTTATCCAGGGTCTTATCACAGAGGAACGTGAAAATATTGATCCAGAGGCCCTGCCATTTGCAAGGAAAATCAAAGAAGCTGGTCGCCAGGGATTAAGGGAGGGTGCAAGTCTTGTGGAAGTGGTTTGTACGCTAGTAACACTTTATTCAACTCTTTATATTCTAGTAGATTACATTATCATTCTATTCTTCACATGTGAAATAATGGAGTCCGGTTGGCAAATGACTTTCGTCTCATTATGGTCTTTTGTTTTAGTTTTTGCCTGCTTTGAAGTTTGTGTCATTAGATGCATTGTCAAGTCTCTCCATTACTTTTCCAATTGAAGAACCTTTCTTTAATCTGGCTAAACAGGTGCAGCAAGTGAAGCCTGATGTGCTTCTTGGGTTATCTGCAGTTGGAGGATTGTTTTCCAAAGAGGTATAATTGAATTTTACATATCAAGCAAAACATTTGCTCCTCCTGTTTATGACAATATAATCTATGATCACCGTTTGAATATCATTTCTACTAATTGGCAATTTAGTAGAATGTTAATGTATTGTTTTAGAATTTAACACTTTGGCTATCCCGAAGCCTTGTGATCTACTTTGTAATGAGAATGTGTCACATGTAAAGTAAAGATTCACTATTTTCATTTCTTTCTCGTATATTTAAATGTAAAGAAGATGTTCTGAGAAAAATTTGGCAGATGGATTCCAGATTGCAGAACAATTATTTTTTGAAAAGTTTTAGGCTTAGGTTTGTTTCTTAGAATCTATGAACTTCATTAACCTTCCAGCCAAATCTTTTTTGCCTGTCTTTTTGCAAAGTATGTAAAGTGCATTTTCTGTTTTAGGTGTTAGAGGCTCTTAAAGGTTCAACTTCAACTAGACCAGCCATCTTTGCAATGTCAAACCCTACAAAAAATGGTATGAATATTTTAAATATTTTGGGGATTTAAAATTAGGACATCTATATTTGTACACAAAGTTGTCATGCTCTTTTATCCTTCTTTTTGCAGCCGAGTGCACCCCAGAGGAAGCTTTCTTGATTGTAGGTGACAACATTATATTTGCAAGTGGAAGTCCATTTAGAGATGTTGATCTTGGTATGTGTCAAGGCTACCTTGTTAAACACCGTCCGCATAGTAATTCTTTTAATTTTTATAGATCTTTGCCAATTTGCTCCCACGTGGGGCTGGTTTACAGGTTTTTTACAATCAGCCTAATCTCTGTTTATTATAGTGGCTGAGTTTCCATAAAATTATAGCTACTTATTGTACAAGTTGCTCATTTCTTGCCTGAATTTCTATATCATCTTGATTTTTTATATTTCTATATCATCTTGATTTTTTATATAAGTTCCAAACAAAAAATTCTTTCCTTTAAATTCTCATGTGAATGAAAGGTTTACTGATTGTAACTTTCGAAAAATTTAGGAAATGGTCATGTTGGGCATTGCAACCAAGGAAACAACATGTATCTCTTTCCAGGGTCAGTTTTTCCAATTCATTTCACAAAGCTGTCTTTTATTAATGTTTCTCTAATTCATCCTTTATAGTTGTTTACCTCTCTTTTATGCAGTATTGGACTTGGAACTCTTCTATCTGGCTCTAGGATTATTTCAGACGGCATGCTACAGGCTGCAGCAGAACGGTGTGTCTCATTTGTCTGATAAATATATTTATAAATGCGGAATTCAGAAATTTTCTCATGTAAGACTGTTAGGAGATTATATAGAAGATTTCTGGTAGAAAATTTTATCCATCACTATTCTTTATGAAATTTAGCTAGATTATGAGAATACAATGGGCAAGGCAGTTACTGCATCCTACCCACTCAGAACCACTTAAAGTTCTTATGAAAAGTAGTGATTAGGATCTGTTTATTGTACCTTTCTAATCCTTTTAATTAAATTAGGCATTTTATGAGTTACTTATGGATTAAGTCCTGATTTTTTTTAATATTTTATTAACTTACTATAATTTTTTAGTTGTCCCAAATGGTGTGCTTAGTTACAATGGCATTATGCCAGAAGCTTTCTGATATATGTGACATGGATCATTAATTATTTCTCTTGCTCTTAAAATTCCTTCAGAAAAAAATTTTAATGGCTTAAACAAGATGATTTGGTGCTTTTGACACTGAATTTGATAGTGACTCATCACTCATATCATATGTAACGTTCAATTGGCTAATGTAGTCTAGCTGCATACATGACTGAAGAGGAGGTTCTCAACGGGATCATATACCCTCCAATATCAAAGTATGTGATCAGGCGTTTCCTTTTTTCCCTCTCTTTCACCTGGTGAATGTAGTTGAGAGCTTTCAATTTAAGGTCATTGTCTAAGTCTATTAATTTTGTTTGCAGGATAAGAGATATAACAAAGGAGGTAGCTGCAGCAGTGGTGAAGGAAGCCGTAGAAGAGGATCTTGTGGAAGGATATCGTGAGATTGATGCTCGAGAGCTCAAAAAAATCTGTCAGAGCCAGGTAATGTGGCTGTTGACGAATAAATGTTTCTCTTTCAATGTCTCCAAACACTTATATTCGACAATGACAAACATGTTTGTTTTGATTTGCAGGAGGAACTTGTAGAATATGTGCAGAACAACATGTGGAGTCCAGAATACCCCACCCTAGTTTACAAGAAGGATTAGTTGGCCGGAATAATTTATTGAATCTGAAAAATCCTCAATCATAGATGTTGTGCACCAAACAATCCAGCAGAGCTTGTGGTAAGCTGGTGATGGAAGAATCAAACATGCTGTGTTGGCACTAACGCTCAAGTACCAGCATTCTTCTAAATTCTGATTTCGTTGGTCAGATAAATTCATTACAGTGAATGTGATACATTAACTGTGGGTGTAAATGCATTTATATATGTATAAGCTTTTGCTTTGAGTATATGTATTTAGCCTGGACAAAGTTAATATACCATATATGATTTAAAGAAGGCACAAATGAGAAATAAAGGATGGGTGGACTTAAGATCATATATTGTATCCACATACTTAATAATTTCCCTAAGAAGTGTATGTGTCACGAACCTAAGGAAGAGTCTTGAATCTCACATCGAACATAATAGGAGAGTTTCTGAAGTAAAAAAGGATTTACATCTTTTTTGTCTTGTGAGACGTTTTTTGTAGGATAAAATCGTGGGTCAGAGCGGATAATACCTCACAAGGGTGTGAACCGTGACAAAAAGGCTGATCTGGAATGTTGGAAGAATGAATGTTCAGGTCCCGGAGTTATGCTGGTTCGGAGTTTAAGTCTCGATCCGTGACAAGTGGTATCAGAACCAGTCTTAAACCGTTCGATCCACGTTAAGCACCTCAAGGGAGGCAAGCAGGGTGATCAACTTTCATAACGAGGGCGTCACGAGGTTGGGTGTGGAAGAATGTCACGAACCTAAAGAAGAGTCTTGAATCTCACATCGAACATAATAGGAAGGTCCCTGGGGTATAAAAGGGATCACATCACTTCCGCTTTGTGAGACGCCTTTTGTAGGACAAAATCGTAAGGTCAGGGGGTCAGAGCGGACAATATCTCACAAGGGTGTGAATCGTGATAAGAAGGTTGATTTGGGACGTCAGAATGATGAATATCCGAATCCCGAAGCCGCGCAGATTCGAAGTTTAAATTTCAACCTGTGACATATGTGCTTAATTAGAAGCTATGTATATCAATATATATTCATTTAACACTACATCCGGGTTGATATACCGTCTCATTGGGAGACAATGACCTAATAAAAATTTTTAGTTTGATAGCTCCTCATGATTTGATTATATTTTATGTTGATTATCATTCAATCGCAATTTTTTTGGTCTTATCCGAGCCATAAGCCAAATTGTATGACAACACACGAGCGGAATTATTTGTATGATTGGTAATAATAATAATAATAGTTATATGGAAGATAGAGTAATGAGAATTGGGAATTTATTTTCATATTTGAGGTTAAAGTTATAGGTGCGGCGATATCAATTTTTTACATATTAGATTGAGATAAAACAACCAACAACACTTTCATATTCAATGTTTAGTGCATTAATTAAAAATATTTTTCAATCAAATTGAATGTTTTGCCATATTTATTATCAAGTAATGAATGCTTTAATTGAATGCTTTAATTATATCAAGTAATGTAAAATAATAATAATAAAAAGGATGAACATGGTTTCTGAGATATTTACTATGAATAAATGAAAATGGTCAATAATAATTGGGTCAATAGACAAGACACCCATGGCCCAACCCAAACAAACATCAGATGTAGCCGTTATACTTACGCAAACAACCACTTTTTCAGAATCATATTCCAAATATGCCCTTTTCAACCCCCAAAACGCTCCTTCTCAGCCACATCTATTCAATTAGGCTCCAAAGCCAAAGCCAAAGCCAAAGCCGAAGCCAAACACAGAGAAAGAGACACAGATCTCCTCCTTTCTCCCTCGCTTCAAATTCTGGTAAATTCAAACTTCTCTTTCTTTCTATTATCTCTCGTCTCCTCCGATCTGTGTACAAAATTGACTGCTTTACGTAATTTTTTTCTTTCAATTTCTTGGCTTTTTCCTTGCTATGTAGATCCCCCCTTGCGAATGTCATGTATTTCCTTTCGTTTCTTGCGTTTCCCCACATTGCATCTTCTGCTGCTGCCATTGCTGTTCATCAGTTCATATCCCTTCTTCAACTATTTGGATCTCTTGCTTTTCTTTCTCCTTTTCTTCAACAATTTTCTTTTCGATTTATGCAGGTTCAAACGCTCGGGCAGGGCACTAAGCTAGTTCTTCACTCATGGGAACCGCTGGCACTGCAAACAAGGTAATGAGGACCATGGAATTTATTCTGTTGATCCAATTGTTGTTCCAAAAAGAATTATACTTTCCTCATAATATAATAATATACCTACTTTTGGAAAAGTGGTTCCCTTTCTTTTTATCATATGTTCGCATTTTTCCCATACATCAGCTTATAACATGATATTTTAACTACAGGATGTTCATGCTAGCTTGGCCGGCAAAAAGCCAATAGTTGTTTTTGTTTTGGGTGAGTCACTTCTTCCTCTCCATGTCTATTAGTAGTTTTACATTTACTTTTCATCCAGTTAATTTTCCCTTTGTTTGTAAATTGCCTACAGACTCTTGAGTTTCTTTCGTTTTGTTCATTAATCAGGTGGCCCCGGCAGTGGAAAAGGTACCCAGTGTGCAAATATTGTCCAACACTTTCATTACACCCATCTCAGCGCTGGAGATCTTCTCCGAGCAGAAATTAAGTCTGGTTCTGAGAATGGGTATGACATGCATAGATTTGTACCTAATTCTAGACATTTTATTTACAGTTTGATCATTGTACATGATTCAGATCTGGATCAGTATCAACGTAGATCAAACTTTTACACTTATTGATTTGGGAATAAAAAAACCTTGTTTCTAATGATTGTTTATAGTTATTATCTCTTGAGGCGGGTTTTCCTTTTGAGTTCTGTTCAATTCTACTAAAGGATGTTTTCATTAAACATTATCGATGTTTTTACCCTCAACTACTGAATTTAGACAAATAAAGTTTATCCTTGCTTTCTAGGTTTGCCCTCTATTACCCTGCATGGATAGGTAAGATATTTGCATCCTCTGTTCTCGTTAAATTGTATGGACATGCGTCTTTGAGTTCCTCTATATGAACTGCTTGTTTTCTGTCTGTTGCATGCTAACATTGAGTTAAGGGAAGAAGAAGAAGTGCATGTACATGTACTATGTACTAGACCAGTTGTTTGCATTTGAATCTTTTTGTATGTATTCTTTCTTTTTGCATTTGAATCATTTTCCCCATGTTTCCCTTTTCTGCAAGATCATATTTAACATATGTTGTCTTCTGATCTGCAGAACCATGATCCAGAACATGATCAAAGAAGGAAAAATCGTTCCTTCTGAGGTCACAATTAAGCTTCTCAAAAAAGCAATGCTGGAAAGCGGTAATGACAAGTTCCTTATTGATGGTTTTCCTCGTAATGAGGAAAACCGTGCAGCATTTGAAGCTGTTGTAAGTCTTTATTATTCTTTGTTCCCATATTTTTTCTTTCAGTTTACATGCCCTTGAGCTTTTCTTTTAACTAGTCTTCTCTGCATCTTTAAGTCAGGTACTCTAACATGGTGAAACTTGGCTGTTCTGCAGACAGGAATCGAGCCAGAAGCTGTCCTGTTTTTCAATTGTCCTGAACAAGAGATGGAGAAGCGTCTTCTGAGTAGGAACCAGGTTACTTGATTCTTTCTCTCTCTCTCTCTCTCTATATATATATATATATATATATATATATATGGGTATCTATTTGATTTCCATTAGAAGATTTCCTTGTTTCTTTTTGTCTTGTGTCCTTTTGTGCTTAAACTATTATTCTTTTTCGTCATAATGAAGGGAAGAGAAGATGATAACATGGAAACAATAAGGAAGCGATTCAAGGTTTTTCTAGAGTCCAGCTTTCCTGTGATTGAATACTATAAGGCGAAGGGGAAGGTTCGAGAGGTAAAATTTTGTCTAAACTGTTTGGTTGTTTACTAGATTATTGATATGGTTACCTCAACTTCAAATGATGTTGCTTTTGACCTTTAGATTTATGCTGCAAAGCCCATTGAAGAGGTGTTTGAGGCGGTTAAAGTTGTGTTCACCCCAGAAGATGAAAAGGTAAAGAGTTATGGGTTTACCCCTTTTTTGTTAGAAAACAAAACTAAGAAAATGAATATCACTGCAAAATATAATAGTGTAAAAGTATCCCATACGATTATAGTTGTGTATAGTAAGTATGATATTATGTTTCTTTGAAACAGTGATAACTACATAAATTATTAAATTAATGTATTTTTTATAGGAAGAAAAGAGTACAGCATGATGAATGACATGGTATTTTCCAAGTTGGGAGTGTGAAGCGAAAAAAGGAGCTTGTCTAGAGCATGAACTTTACATCTCTGGAAAATTAAAATTGTAATCTTAGGAGCATTATTATGAATGAAATTGTCATAAGAAGAAATTAGAACACGCTATTTCATTGAAGAAAGGTGCTGGGTCATAGTTTGACACTTTGAGAGATGAAACAAGGTTGAACTTTGTTTTAATCACTCTCGGTACTATACTTTTGAAAAATTAACTTGTAGTTTTTGAGGGTCTCAAAGCACCAGAGAATTGTTTGATTACTTAGCATGGTTGGTTCAACACGCAGAACCCGTCTTGGTTTGCTTCTTCCACTCTTAATTGATATATGTGGCATATGCAGGTCACTGCCTAAGCTTTCCAACCAGTGAAAAAATAGCATATTACGGCAAGGTGATATCTACATCTGTGAATTGTACAGACTTAAATCTTTGTTTAAAACAATCATTGATCTCTTTTTTTTATCAAGCACACTTACAGTCTCAATTTCTGCCGTGCAGGTTATATCAGAGTTTGATTACTGCATTCTAATTTCGGAGGTTTTTGTATCACATAGCATTTGGTCTATAATTACATAATAAGGTCCATGCCTTTATATTCTTGTTATTGTAATGCTTCTAATAACATTGTTAATGCTGATAATCACAATAAATGCTCCGTTCCCATTAGTACTCCTGTTATTATTTGCGTGACTCCCGTTCTTTGCATAGTTAAGTTGCCACTGTGAACAGTGCACTGACATCGGCATCTAATGTGTATTTATTTGCAGAAAAAAACCTGTAATGTAATGTGTTCTCCTGGTCATTGTTGTCTTTATCGTTGAGTTCGCCCCTATTTTGATTTCAATGCTTTGATTATACATCTGAAATGCAATAGCAACTGGGAAACCCTTATTAAGTGTTAACCATGGTACATATGTCATTTCCTCAAGGACAACTCAGAAAGTTTTCCAAAAACTTTTCAAGAATTTAAACTAGCCAAAGGCCCAAAGCAGAAGTGATTGTGTCATTTGGCATTGCCTACGAAATTCAGAGCAAAACAAGTAGTTTTGCACTCATTGTTTCACAAAAACATGAACTATGCGTAATAAAAAATAATCCCGCTCTCCTTAATAGTGTCGAGGACAATCCCAAGTTTACCCTCAATCCTGTCATTCTTTTGGGGATCATAAGACATAGCAAATACAGCAGCCTACATTGACCTCTCAGCAATTAGCTTTCCTATAACCATACAGGCATTGTCATCAGTAAGTGATGGTAAAGAGTACCTCAGGTCCTTGGCGTTTGTGCTTGCAACTGATATCACTTTGCTTGTATACCTGTGCATCACTTTGGCGTGGATGAATCGCTTTGAAAAGAAAACATTTAGTAAAAATGGTCTCATGTACATATCTGTTCTTTGCTTCCATGACTTCCTGTTAGGCCTTTTTGCAAGCTCAGCTCGGGATCTCCTGGACCAGGTTGCTGAAACAGTCGAATCTTATTAACATAAGCAAATTAAAGTTCAGATATAAATGACTTTAGATCTTTGCCAGCAAAAGGTGTTGCAACAAAATCTCCTAGTGATAAATAATCACTGAAATGGTGATTCTTTGATCATTGATTATGAAAATACCCTTTAGACAAAATTACGGAAGGTCTAAGCCTCATTAACTTGCGCTAAAAATCCCCCTCCCACCCCTGATGTTTTGAGAGGCTAATGAAGGGCAAAGGACACAAATCCCACAGTTTCTTTAAAAATGAAAAATAAAAAAGCTTAACAAGAAGGGGAAAAAGTCCGTGACTAAAGGTAAAGAAAGTTAAGAGCAGCAGACCTTGTGGCGAATGGAAAAGGGAACAGGGGGGACAGTGACAGAGAGGTGAAGCTTGGATAAGGAGGAAGACCATGACAAAGAATTGGGTTTAAGGTGGCGACTCGGATGAGTCAATTGGGAAGAAAGAGGAATGGAGATGGAAGAAGATGAATATATGCACTCCATCTTAGGATTCTCCACTCGAATGAATGATAATCCTCACAAGCCAATGCTAACGCAATCCGAACGAATATCAGAGCTTCTCATCTGATCCCACGTAAAAAGAGAAGCAACCATGAAAGCATTGGGTTTTATCGTTTGCATTTGGTTTGACCTAATTATCCAAATTGGGCCGATTTAAGCCCCACTAGACTAGATATCTTTCATTGTGGATGTCTGTTATGTCTACACTCTCTGTATTAAAATATACCGTAGTCTGTATTAACATGTTGCAAGAAAAGCAAACTAAAAATCATTAGAAAATGGAGTTGTAAATTTCATAATATATCTACTTAGGAAGTTTTATCAGGAGAATTAACATATCTCATATACTTTGTCATTATATGATACAAACTACAAACAAAAAACAAAAAAAAAGAAAGGCATGTTTGGGTTTGTAATAATGGGCCATCCTTTGCTCGATCCAGTAGAATTCACACGCAAAATAGGCTTTGGCGGGAAAAGATTTGTCCCCCTCCTCCGTTTTTTAAGCAAGTCTTTCTGCAATCTCGGGGCTGCTAACTAAGGTCTAAGTTGGAACGGCGGAAGCTTATGAAGTGAAAATGCCTCCCAGAAGCAGAAGGAAACTTAACTCTTCTTCTTCTTCATCAAAGAAATCAACCGTTTCAAATCAACAATCTCAACCCTCCAAGTTCGGCATCCAACATTTCTTCCAACGCCATTCCCAAAACACCCTTTTAGCTTCCCGGAATCACCCATCTTCTCCTCCAAACGCCCCTTCCCCTACTATATCCTCTTCCAATTCCAATGCCGCTTCTTTGCCCCTTGAACCCGCTTCCAACGGTGTCATTTCTGCATCGCCAAGCCCTAATTTCCTTTCCAACTCGTCTCCAGCAATGGATGTTGATGCTGAGGTCTCGCCTTTAATCTCCAAGTCTACGTCTCTTAAGCGCTTCAATTTTTCCCCTGGAATGGTAAACAATTTCTAACTGCTTCTTTTATTATTTCCATTTCTTTCTTCTTAGTCAAATAAATTAACGGGCGGAATTGGAGTTGTAGTTGATAAAGCAGAGCCAAGATGATGGAGGGGATGAGGTCTCATGGAAGATATCTCCAGTCAATGAACGTCTTCGAGCAGTCTCAAGGCACATGCCATTATTGCCTGATTCTTCAAAGCACAACTCTTTCACCATGCATCAGTGCTCCCAAACCAAGGCAAGTTTTATTTTCAGTGTCTGTAAGCCCTTTTATTATTAACAAAAAAAAAAATCAATGCATTGTAGGGTCCAAATACGGCTGCCAAGGTTGACAAGTGGCTATCTTCGCCTTCGCTTAAAGCTGATAAAAAACCTTTGCTTCCGGCCAACAGGGTTGGGTTGAAAAGAGTGAACCCATTTCAGAATAAAGAGGCCAGTGAGAGCATTGCTGATGAGAATACCTGTTTAGTAAGTAGACAGAGTCCATTCTGCACTCCACCATCTCTACCATTTTGTCCTGATAAGGTAATTAGTAATTGTATTCTATTTCTCCCGATACCTCTTTGGTTTTAGACAAAAATCAATCTTCATCAAGTAGCTACACTGACAGAAGGACATACATACATACATACATACATATATATGTGTGTGTGTGTGTGTGTGTGTGTGTGTGTGTTTGTGTGTATGAAATGGTGGTTCTGTAATTTGTCATCTCTCTTATTTATGTCTTAACTGAAATGCAGCTTGCCAATGGTGTTGCATCTGATCAGCTGGGTTTGAGGCAGCACAAAAAGGTTTCACTTTAAAATTGTTTCTCAATTTTCATCTCTTTATCTTAACAGATTTCTATGCCTTTCTTTCACATCTGATTATTATATAACAAAAATGAAAGTTTCATTACTGCTACATTTTAGGTATACACCAGGTTGTTGCACAGATTACCAAAAGTTTCCTCACAACTCAAATGACATATTCCTTTTTTACATTTTTGTTCAATTATCTTCCTGTTTTTTGTTATTGTTCATCTCCATTTGTCTATTTTCTCTTATAGGCATTGCTTGAACTTCTAGATCAAGTAGAAGATGTCATTTCTGTTGAGGATTTTGTATCCAGTGAATCAGAGCCATATTCATCTAAAGTCAAAGAAGGGCAGTCCAATGAAATTCCTGTAATAGCTAATTCTATAGGAAATTGTGTGGTAATGGGCCCACCACACAAAGTCAGTGGGACATCTTCTAATGGTCATTTCCTAGTGTTAGAGGTATCCTTCCACCTCCCCCTTCTTCTAGTAAACTTTTTATGAAGAAAACAATATGTTCTTGGATCTGATATTGTTGCTAATATACATCCACTGAAGGTATCTGAGAAGCGAACTTTTCCTGAGTCTGTTGGTTCTCATTGCCTATATAAGGTTTTTACTGTGCCTTGGTCACAAACCACTTAATGCTTCACTGGACTGTTAAGGGGACTAAAAACAATTGCTTCTCAGGTTCTTCGCTTGGTAAATGAGAAAAGTGGGGAAGAGCGTGCTGTTTATTTGTGGGAAGAATGGTATGTAGTGCAATGCTCTTGCTTTCAACTAGTCAATAAGTTTAATGTTTTTTCAAATTCGATATACTTTTATTTCATCAAGATCGATTTTTACCCAAGAAATATGCTGAAGGGGCACCTTTTTGGATCATCTCCACTGTTTTACTGCTTTATCAATAGAATTGTTCAAGAAAGCTTTGCTGTTGATGTTTTCAGTTTAAATAGTGCTCTGGTTTTAATAAGGTTGGCTAATTTCATGTGTCAGCTCTATGTGCTTATTGACCCATCTCTAGTGGCATTTTGCATGTATCTCAACCAGTCTTTTCTGTTTTAATGTTTACATGCTCTTGATCTTCTGATGTCAACCTTAAAGATTCTTTTGGTTCTTGCTTTCCCAGTGGTTGCTACTAGGGAGATAATGTTTCTCACTGTTCCTTGAAACAATTGCCTCAGGTCCTATAGTGTCATTGCCCCAGGAGACACTGTGAATGTCATTGGTGAATTTGATGATAAGGGAAAGTGTAATGTGAATCGTGAAAATAATTTTCTTATTATTCATCCAGATATTCTAGTCTCTGGAACTCGGGTAAGTGTACTGCACTTATACAAATTTTAATTTTATGCATTTTTATGTGACAGTTTTTCTTATGGATTTTGTAATCATGGGTACTCTAAGCCACCCTTTTTACATCAATTTTGGTTGACTAAATGCAATTGGGTATTTAAAACCACAAATTTTCTTTTCTAATAAATCAAAAATAATTTTAGGTTGCAGCTAGTTTTAGTTGCCCAAGGCGAACTGTCCTAGATGAGAGACTACGATGCAATGAGCATTCAACTGCAGCTCTTATTGGCACCTTGCTGCACCAAATTTTTCAGGTCTTGAGATAGGAAAAACCATCATACGATGCTATTAAATTTTCTAATACTCCACATCAATTTCCGCTCATCAATAAGCTAGCTTTTAGAAATTTCTTATCTATGGATATGTCAATTTTCTTTCCTTTTGCAGGCAGGACTTGTGAAGGAGTCCCCTACAGTACACTTTTTGGAAGAATATGCAAGAATGGTGCTCCAGAAGAACACGGAGAGCTTGTATGCATGTAGAGGTGGAGATTTAGATAAATATTCCTTTACCATTTTCCAATTTCTTGCTGGCATGATCATCTAGGTTCATCAGTCCATTAGACTTGTCTAATCTTATCCATATTCCATTATGTGTTGCTTAATGTTCCAATGACATTGGCGGTAGATCTTAGGGGCTATTATCTGAAATTCTGATATCTGTTTTTATGCTTAATTGCAGTAAATGAAAATGAAATATATAAAACCTTGACTGAAGCTATTCCAAAACTTGTAAATTGGATTGTCCTTTTCAAAGATTCACAGGTGAGCTGATAGTTTGTCATTATTGTTACTGTTTCATGTTAATTACCTTGTGGGTGCATTACTCCTAGTTTTCTTCCACATCCTTAAATTGTTGAGGGTTCGAGGTCCCTGCATCTAAATGTATGAAGGCAGAAGATCTGATTCTGCCCCTGTGGCAAGTTTTAGCATGTTTGATGATTGGGGTTGGGGGGTTGGGTGGGTAGGTGGATGCAGAAGCCTGGCTGCCTCATCATGTGGGTCGGTGACCACCAGGCTGAAGAGTGGTTATAAATGAATATGCTTTTTGTGATTGTAGAGTGCAATATATGTCACAGGTACATTCCTCTTTCTTGGAGGTTGGTATACTAGGAACCTTATAATTTAAGAGACAGTTGGATCTTGTAATGAACTAAATAAAATCTCTTTGTCTGCATATCAGATGGATTTCTGTATGATAACTTTCTATTCTTGAATTAATTTTACTATTGGCAGGAGCCACAAGTCCCCACTGTAGATTTTGGATCTGATAAGGGGCCAAAAAAGGTTAACATTTTTGAGGTTAGCATCTCCTTCAGCCTTTCCTGTTCATGATTCCTTAATCAATTATATGCTTCTTCGCATTGGTCCCTCCAAACAAAAAGTTATTTGCATCTTTACGTGTATGAACGTGCATTCATGGATGTGGATGCCTTTTGGTATTGTATATGTTTAGATGAGAATCATATCTAGGTATTCATGTATTCTCACTACAGTATCCTGAAAACTTTCATGGATTCAGGATATGCTTACTACTCAAAATTGAAGATATGTGTGCATTTTTAACTATTTTTGCATTTTTTTTGTTTGGCTTGTCTTTAGTTGCACTTGTTTATTCCAAGTCTTCATGAAGTTTTCATTTATACCTAGTCTGAACTCATAAAATGTATATGTAAGGATTTCTTTCTAATTGTAGGTCATTGATATTGAGGAAATGGCATGGGCCCCAAAGTATGGTTTAAAAGGAATGATTGATGTTTCAGTCAGAGTGAAGGTTGAGTCAGGTGGAAAAGAAGATGATGAGAAGATCATGCCTCTAGAGTTTAAAACTGGAAAAATGCCTAATGGCCAGGCAAGTAATAAAGCAATTATATGTGGATTAAATCTTGAAACTTGCACATTGCATTTTACAAGCTTCTTCCTTGATCTCAATGTCCTTGCACCCATGCTTCTCAATTATGCAGTCATCTATAGAACACTGTGCCCAAGTGATCTTGTACGCTCTCCTTATGTCTGAGAGGTATAAGCATCTTATTCCTTTTACTTTTCTTTGTGTCTTCTGTGTGTTTTGGGTGGAGTGGTAGTGATGGGTGGAGCGGTAGTGAGGGGTTGTTCTTAGTAAGGATTCTTTTCTTCATTTTTTACTTGTCTTATTGTTAGGTACCTAAAACATATTGATTCTGGTCTTCTATACTATCTCCAGGCAGATCAGACACAAGTAATGAAGCTACCTTATGTCCTCTGTGGATCTCTAGTTTTTAAGGCCGCTAAGCATCTGTTGATGGTTTGTGTAGGGAATTATAGTTCGAAGATCTGACTTGGTTGGGTTAATCATGCGTCGTAATGAGCTAGCAAATGATATTCTTAAGGCGTTAACAACACAACAGCTGCCCCCAATGTTACAGGTATGCTTGTTACTGAATTATCAAAACCATATGTCAGTGAACAATTTTTTATGCTAATTAGAAGTTCCATGTTGTAGATTCCAAGCATGTGCAAAGGCTGTCGCCATCTTGATGTTTGCACCCTCTATCATAAGGTAAACTTACTACCCTTATTATAGTTCAGGGAGTGGAATTTGTCTCAACTTGTAGGTTAGCTGTAGTGGCACCCCTGTTCTTTTCTTTCTTTATTTTTATTTTTATTTTTTATTTTTTATTTTTTTGTGATATCCTGTCAAAATGTTGCACATAAAAAGGTCAAAATCCTTAGAGAAGGTTTAAGCAAGATTTTCATTTATGGTTGTATGGGCTGCAGTGCCTCACTCTGAGTTTCAAGTTTCTATTATTGGCCATTTTGTTTAATTGCTGCAGGCATTTGGTGGGGACATGGAGAGTAGTGGATTAGGTGATATATTTGATTCACATGTACATCACTTTTCAAATGCTCATGGTTTTTTCCTCAGACATTGGGATAGGTTGATTGACCTAGAAGCTAAAGAGATGCAGGTAATTTGATTACTCCAAAGCAGCATTGACGAAATTTTTTCGACCTGAATAATTTTTTTTTCACTATTTCAGCTTGTGAAGAAAGAAATCTGGCATTCTCATAATCTTAAGAGTGAGGACACTACTGGTAGCCTTTCTTCTCTTGTTCTTGATGAACTTCCACATCAGAAATCTCACAAAGAAAATAGATTCATCTATCATTTTGTCCGTCGACATTCACCTGCTTCCAACCTAAGTGGATCTGATAGAAACTCTGTTGGTGCTGCATCTTCTCTGATCGAAGATTTGGATTGCACACTTAAAAGTGGAGATTATGTGGTATAATTACTCTTGTCTAAATAGCCTTTAAATCACAGAAGCACAGCTGAATGCTAATGCTTATTTCGCACAAAGTGCTTATTAAGGTTTCCGATACTATTTGCATTAAGGTTTCTCTTTAATGTGCGTCCAAGTATTACCAAAAGTAGTTCTCTTTCAAAATTTTCCAAGTAAATATCTCATCACATTAATAAATCAAAATTTCATGTTTATTTACACTATTATTCTGACTTCAAGAATTAGTGCACGGGTATTTCTTGCATTGCTTCTGCTTTGTCATTCCTATCTTCATGTATCATTGAATTGTTACCCTTTAAGTTTGTACGTACTAAATCTTGCAGTAAATCTAAATATGATTGTTATGAATCATGTTTGCTTTATAGTTACAATTTTTCTATGTACCTTCTTGTTTCTATGATTCCATGAAAATCTGAAAGACTATCCACACTCTTCTTCTATACTTTGGTTCTCTTAGATTAGAGCTTGTGGAGAAACTGCTGGAACCATTTCATTCTTTCTCCTAACTCAGAGGATGCTTGTAGCTATTGACTCTAGATAGTCTGGTAGAGAGTAAATTTACATGTTGTAGCTTCCTGTATATAAACCTTTGATCATTTATAGCACTAGTAAATAATTTTAGTTTCTACTATTTTGAAACTCAGCTATCAGATAATTTTATTGATGGGAAGTGGAGCTATACAGTATTTCTGATTAGTTTATTTTTTAATCTTATACATTTATTTCTTCATAATCCCACAGCAACCTGCTATGTATGGGTATATTCCTATACTACTAATATGAAAGTTGCCCTTAGTTGTAAGGTTTTTCCCTGAATGATATTTAGAGAGTTGTGCTTCAGGAGCGAGAGTTAAACATATAGGTTATCTTTTCTGCTAGAGCTATCATGATCTCTTATGGGGTATGTTTCTCATTGTTGAAGGAATTGATAATTACTTTTGTTGTTGTATTTCTTAATGGTCAGTCAATGAGCAGTTCCTTTTATAAATTCTGTTTTTCATGATGTTACATCTAACTTCTCATTACCAACAATATTTATTTCTTATGTTATTTCTGGTTTTTAGATACTGAGCACGGAATCTGGCCATCAAATTGTTGCAAGTGGGGTCATTGTGGAGATCAGTCCTGTCCGTGTTTCTGTAAGCTTAAAGTTTGCTTTGCTTACTACTATGAAATTGGCCTATTAGCAGTAACGTCATCTACAAGATGTTGTAGGATGCGTGCTAAAGTGGCTTAGAAATTAGTGACCATCCTTAAACATTCAGATTCAAATAGATCTAATGCTTTGAGGTTGTCTTGTCTTTGGTGAAAGTCAGGTTTCTTTTTCTAAGCGTTTAAGGCTTCCAGGGGGTAATTCGTCCTCGATGATAGAGAAACTATTTCAGGAGGTCTGGCGGATTGACAAGGATGAAGTCATGACCTCCTTTTCAATTATGCGGTAATTTCCACATTATAGTTAATTTTTGACTATTTTTATTAACTTTTTCTCTTCTCTTGTGGCATCTGGATTTTCAAGAGATTGGAAATATACTTTGTTTATGTTCATTATTTTTACTTGTAATTGCTGAAGGTTCAATCTTATCCAAATGTTTCTAGAAAATGAGCAAAGTTCTCATGTCAGGAAGATGATTGTTGACCTTGCGGTGAATGCTTCTTCCTCTCTCATATGGTTTTCTATATAGCTTTTTGCATAATGTAATCTTTTTTTTTTCTTTGATAATCTTATATGAACATTGGTTTACCTACTGCAGGCTCCTAGATTTGACAGTGGATGCATATTCAGCCAAGATCCAGCAATATCTTATATCTGGTCAGAGAAGAGCCTAAATGATGATCAGCGTAGAGCTATTCTCAAGGTTTTCTATTTCCTGGTTAAGAAAACTTTTTACTAAGTTTATCTCTTGAACAGCAACATTCTCAGTTGACCTAAAATTTTCTAAAGAAAACGCATGATTGCTTATTCTGCAAATTCATTTTTTTTTCCAGATACTTATTGCAAAGGATTATGCTCTAATTCTAGGAATGCCTGGAACAGGCAAGACATCGACAATGGTGCATGCTGTAAAAGCCTTGTTGATGAGAGGTGCATCCATTTTGCTTACGTCCTACACAAACTCTGCAGTTGATAATTTACTCATCAAATTAAAATCTCAGGTCATCTTTATTCTCAAATTTTCTTCTAACGTTTTAAGGTGTTAGCTTTGCTGCATTTTTGTTTCAATTCGTTGGAGTACGTAGATAATGCATATTCAACTCCTTACATTGTGAAATCAATGTGCGTATAACATAGCTATACAAGATGACAGAATAGGTAAACATATTTGGTGTGTCTGCATGTAAGAAAAATGGTTTGGAGGAAGAGAACTGCCATGACTTCAGGGGAACAGAGTGATAATAAGACTCATACAATGCATTATTATACGTACCTACATATATAATTTTTTTCTTTGTGTGTGTTTTTTTGAGATGCTGCTAGAAGTTAGTCTTTTGAAGGTTCTTTTTCATGCAAATATCATGTTAAAGTTGTAGGATTTCTATTCCTCAAGTGTATAAATTGAGTCATCTTCTATCTTATAACTTTCCTTTTAGATTTGCATTGCCATTTAAGAAATCTCAAAATAGCATTTCATTTTTGTAAGCATTGCAATGTGATACTTGGCATTATTGCTATGTCTCCAAGGTTGTTCCAAAAACTAACTTAATGGGATACGTTTGCTCTTTTGTCATCCAATTCTATTGTGGCCACTGAAAGCTAATAAGGTGGATTAGCTTATGATGAATAAACAAGCTTTTATCACCCATATGATCTATCTGATATTAAACCTAGTATATCTGAATCTTTTTTTTTCCCGCCAGTCCTATTGAAATTTAAGGAAAAAAAATTGCAGAGCATTGATTTTGTACGCATCGGAAGACACGAATCTGTGCATGAGGAAGTTAAGGGGCATTGTTTTTCAGGTCAGAAAGTATATAATTATCAATTTTTCAGTTGGCAAGCCACTTGTTGTCTTCTTCATGTAGTAAGTTGTTTTGTGACAGTGATGAACCTCAGTAGTGTTGAAGAAATTAAAGTGAAATTTGAACAAGTCAAAGTTGTTGCCGTGACTTGCTTGGGCATCACTAGTCCCTTCCTCTCTGGAAAGAAATTTGATGTGTGCATTATTGATGAAGCTGGTCAAACAACTCTCCCAGTATGTACTATTTCAAGTTTATGCATTTTGATAATAAAAATTTGCGATTTCTGTTAATGATGAAAGTTTCATCTAGATTACTATTCATATTCAATGATACTATAGGTAGATTGCAAACCTCTAGATTTGGTGAGAAGAGGTGGGAAAAATAAAGATTGAACCTAGAAACACAAGTACTTAGCTAAGAGAATAGGAAATAAATCCTAAAGTTACATGATGAAGAAACTATATTATTGAGATTTGCTGTCCAGAATAGTATAAACATACCCAATACACATTTTCATTTTTTATTATACAAGGATGCTATCATGTTGTTCAGTGTATTTTGTAGAATACTTTTAAGGGAGAGAGGTACCACTGTTTGTCTTTATATATGCAGAAAGTCAAATGTTATGTTAACTTCACTCTCAGTTGATGAAAGATCTATGGTCCTGCTAGGTATCACTGGGACCCTTGATGTTTGCTTCTACATTTGTTCTAGTTGGAGATCACTATCAATTGCCTCCATTGGTTCAGGCATGTATATATGCATAATTTGTTCTAGCTATTTAAATTACCTGGCAAAACTTGAAGCTCTTTCACAGTGTAATGCTAATTGATTTCCAGAGTACGGAGGCTCGAGAGAATGGAATGGGAATAAGTTTGTTCTGCAGGCTATCAGAAGCACATCCACAGGCAATTTCACCATTGCAAAGCCAGGTTACCCCTAGAGACAACCAAATTATTTGTATCTCAACTCTTTGTCACTTTTCCATTGCCTGAATTTACTAAATCTTTTCTCTATAGTACCGTATGTGTCAAAGTATTATGGAACTGTCAAATTCACTGATATATGGCAATCGATTACGTTGTGGTTCTCCCGAAGTAGCTAATGCCAAACTCAAGTTCCCAAGACCAAACTTTCTTTCTTCATCTTGGCTAAAAGCTGTAAGAGTGGCTTCTAATCTTCTTGTTTGTAGCTAATGTTGATCCATTGTTAAGCCTGTATTTATTTGTGTGTTTTTGAAGCTTATGTGGTTTTGTAATAAGATTGCCCTTATCATCAAAATACTTTCAACATTTTTGTGATACTTAGATTAGCATTTTTCTTTCAAAACTTCATTTAGATAAGATAATTTAAAAGTTACATTATGGCTGCAGGTTCTAAATCCAAGAAGGCCAGTCATTTTTGTTAACACAGGTTTGAAAGTTATTGTCTTTTACTTATGATCTGTTGTTTACTTGTATGTCTTGAACCCTTACCAGAGCATTCGCCATGCTTAGATATGTTGCCTGCTTTTGAGGCTAGAGACCATAAAACTGTGAATAATCCAATGGAAGCTTATATAATTGCGGAGGTAAGATCCTAATATATTACTGAAATACTTTCCAGCAATTCTTGTGTTGTTGATGCGACCGGTATGCAGCTTTATGCATGACATTTACTTCTTTCATGTAGATAACGGATGGATTAGTTAACAATGGAATTGAAGGCCAAGATATTGGCATCATTACCCCTTATAATTCCCAGGCAAATCTCATCAGACATGCTTGCATAGCATCCGTAGAGACACATACTATTGACAAATACCAGGTTAGGTTGAAGCCTTAGTTGTCTTAGCTATGTTAATCCTTCATCTTACTGAGCATGGAATAACATGAAAAGGTTCTACGGACTAACTATTGTGTCATTACCTGTTGCAATTTACCATTGTCCAGGGAAGAGACAAGGACTGCATACTGGTGTCTTTTGTTAGGTCTAATGAGAATCCTAGAAACTGCACTTCTTCACTGCTTGCAGACTGGCATAGGATTAATGTTGCTCTAACACGAGCAAAGGTAGGTTTTATCACTGTTTTGTGTGTTAAATTCATCTGTCATTCATTAAAAGAAACTCAGAATATACTGTTAATACAGCATAGCAGAAGAAAAAGTTGCTCTTAGTTGCAAAAATCTGTGTAATATGGTTTATGATTCAATGTACAGAAAAAGTTGATCATGGTGGGGTCGTGCAGAACCCTGTCAAACGTGCCAATGCTTAAGCTTCTTATTGACAACGTTGAAGAACAATCAGGTATTCTGAGTATGTCTGGGAATGATTTTGACCGCCAAACGGTGCTTAAGAGATGCTCTCAGATTTTGTAAAATTTGGCCCCTGCAATTTTTGTGCAAAATGGGCTTTTTTTTCATATTAGATACATATATTTTCAAGGTGTAGACAAAATTAATTATTTTTGTATATTTTCTGAAAAATAAACGAAAGAATGTCCTTTTCTCCCCTCTTTTGCACTAACAGACATTTAAGCAGTAGTTACAAATTCAAAGTCTAAAGATTACAACATAAACAACTCCAAATGGAGACATGATACACTATTTTTAGACCTTTCTATATCATGGAAGCAGTTCATCTCATCTATGATGATCTGTTCAAAGTGGTTACTGGTAATGAATGATTGATACAAATTCCTTTTAAGTACAAACCTCAAATTGGATTGATATGATTGGAAGTCAAATTGTGAAATGTTGTGACTGTGTGGCTCCTAACACATTTCTTTATCGTAAACAGTCAAGTAATCGACTCAAAAGATCATGCATGTTACTAGTGTATTCTTGTGGAAAGTCTGATGTCAAGTTGTTTCCGGCATTCTATTCTCAATTTTCAAATCAAAATTGGATGATTGATTATGCTTCAAAGCTTCTAAAACCCGAATCCTTGGATCATGCATGTTCCATTAATAGTAATTATAAATAAAGAAAACCTAATTGACAAGGTCGCATTCAGCAGCCCCATACAAGCGCCATTAGACCTTCACTCTGATCACTTCCATTCATGCCGAAACTCAAATCCTAGTATCTTCCGTTCCTTAGATTCTACTAACGCTTATTTGACATATACAATACAATCAATATTCTTCTCCAACATCTTCACTTCTGTCAATCCCCTAGCCCTTTTCTGGTATGATATTTTTCTCAACCTCCCTACTATTGCTAAATATTTCTTGCATACATGCACGTATATAACTAGTGTAATACCAAACCCAAGTCCATTAATAATTGACCCAGCCCATAAGTTTTAGAAAAAAAAATTATAACAAAATAAAAATAAGTAAAAGATAGAAACCTTGTCCACTGTTTTCTATGGAAAAAACGAAATCGAAAAAAAAAAAAAAAAACTAAAAGAGAGTAAAAGCTCAAAATTTCATAGATTAATCATGCAATTAGAGATTTAAGGTCATGTTTTGCCAAGAACACTTGAAATTTTTATGTTTGAATATTTTTCCAAAACTCAACTTTTTATTTTATATTTTTTCAAATTTTAAAAATTTTTAGTAACTTTATGATGACAATTCAGTAAAATTATAGGTATATATAAAAATGTCTCTTCAAGATCTTTTTAATAATATATATGATACTTCATTTGATTGAGTAATTTAGGAAAATTGAATTTTTAAAGTTGGCTAATTTTTTTATATTTAACAATTTTGGACACCTAATTTTGGGTCGTAGGAATTTCGTCTTCCGATGACCTATTGGATCAATTTTAGGTGATTTTGGTATTATGGACAGTGTTCTGTGGAATGATATAATTGGTTTGGTTAGATGATTTATAAATTATATGAACTAAAGTTTTAAAATTGATTTCATAAATCTAAAAACTCAAAAAATCTAAATAATGTTTTGTCCTTTTGATTTGTAAATTGGATTAAACATGCAAAATGTATATATAATTTTTTTGTTATGAATTTGTAATGTGATTTTATTATTACTTTGATCTTCAAATATAATTTTACCATAAATATTTATATATCTATCAATTTTGTGAATATGAAATTTACTTAAGAATGACATAAAAATTTTGCTTTGTACAAAAATATTTTTGAAAAAATACATGAACATTAATTTTATATATGGATAATTTAAAAATATATTTTGTTGTTTCATAGTATAACTATGTTTTGACTCTACCTATGAAGGTTAATTGTTGGTCATGTCAACATGTATTTTGTGATTAAAAATCAATTTCAAATCATGCCACTTATGGAGAATATAGAGGTATTTTTTTTCTTTTTTTTTTAGTGAAATCATCTTGTTGTTTTGATATACTAGTTTGACATATTGCCATTGGGTTAATTGTAATTTTTGTTTTGATTTTGATTTAATATGTCACAGGAGTTAAGTGTGATTATAGTATGTTATAAGAGATTAACAAAATTTATAATTTTGTGATAGTTTTATTTAACTTTGATTATCTAAGAATGTCATTTTGAGCAAATGGTTTGTAGAAGATATGTTTATAAATATAAATTTACCTAATAATTTTTTCCAATTATATAATTAATATTTTGATTTAAATATTTTATAACATACTTAATTCAATCGAGAGATTGTCGATTCATTGCCGAGAGATTGTACTAATTTCTTTGTTTAATATTTTATAAGTTTTGATTTTGACATAATCCCGAAAATTTTGAGAAGTGACATTTTGAAATTAAAATTATATTTTATTTTATGAATTTATTTTAAATATTTATTTTGAAATCTGGTTTTTAAGTCACGATTGATTGAGCTTCAATAAATAATTGAGACTAACATTTTTAAATTTAAATCATTTTTGTGTGCAATTTTACTTCTTGGGTTCTGGACGTAACAATTAGAATGATCTCACGGAAAGATATTACGATGCGGGGACAATGTGAAGCTCGGATTTCCAATGGCATTCACTATAACAATGCTTGCATGGAGCACCATCGATTTGATCAGTTTGGAAGTTACAACCGAGAAGGAGATGGTTAATTTATTGGTTACATTATCACGTATGCATCCCTGTGATATGCATCTATGTGGTAATGCATATCACGTATGCATTCACAGTTTTGGAAGTGTTAGGGTCAAGCTCAACTTAAAGGGTAAAGACTTTGAAATTGTAAAAGACCGAAGATGGGATAAGAATAAAGGGTTTCTTGTTAGAAAAATGGGGTCCAGTCCCATGTAAGTGGTTTTGGACCAAGTAAAAGCCATGGGCCTTGATCTTTTATTTTACACAGAGCCCTAGCTACTTAATAAAAAAAGAGGTGGGGTTATTTTATGTGTGTGTCGAAAACCAAGCAGAAAAAGAAGAAAAGCCAGGAAAAACAGAGAGAAAAAAAGAGAAGGGAGAGTTGGTTGAACGGAAGTCAATCCGTGGTCCGATTGAGTTGGAACCTTGTCAGGAGGTTTATGATTCAAAGTTCTACATTCTGAACGGTGAAGATCGGGTTTGAAGCTCTCTAGGAATAAATTCAGGGTGTATTTGTTGAGTCACTTATTTGGTGGGATTTCTCCAATTGTTTCTCTAGTTGTTGATTAGCTCTAGTTTTAGCTAGAGAAGAACTTTGTATAACTATTATTTGATAGTGAAGATTTTTCTGGTGGCCCGTGATTTTTCCCTCTACACTAGAGGGTTTTTCACGTAAATCTTGGTGTGCTTTATTTTTCCTGCGCATTTGATTATTGATTGTTGTCTATTGCTTCTGTATTGTTGTGATTATTGCTTCAGGCGCAACAAGTGGTATCAGAGCGATGGTTATTTTGAGACATTGATACAGAAGCAACCTAGGATAGAAGTAAATTCTGTTTGAGATCATGGAGGGTGATACAGGTTCCATGATAAAATTGACAGCATCGAATTATTCAATTTGAAAGCATATGATGGAGGATTATCTATACTGCAAAGATTTATATGAACCAGTATTGGGTGATTCGGCTAAACCAGCGGATATGAAAGATGAAAGCTGGAAGAAACTAGGTAGAAAAACACTGGCTACAATCAGAAAATGGATTGATATCAGCGTGTTTCATCATGTAGCGCAGGAATCAGATGCTCACATTGTTTGGGAAAAATTGGCAGCATTGTATGAGAGAAAAATAGGTATGAATAAAGTTATACTTGTTAAAAAGATTGTAACTTTACAGTACAGGGATGGACGATCTGTTACATAGCACTTGAGTGATTTTCAAGATATATTTAATCGGATGACTACTATGAAACTTAAGATGGATGATGAAATGAAGGTATTATTTCTTTTGGGTTCATTGCCAGACAGCTGGAATACTCTAGTTGTGACTGTTCTTAATTCAGCTCCTGATTATAAGGTGACATTGGAGATGATAAAGGACAGTATGCTTAATAAAGAAGCGAGGCGAAAAGATGTAGACCCTGGGAATCAAGCTCTGGTCACAGAGAACAGGGGTAGAAACATCGACAGAGGTCAGGACTCAAAAGATCGTGGTAAGTCTAAACATAGATCCAAGTCTAGAGGTAAAGTGAAGTGTTTCCATTGTGGTAAGACGGGTCATATAAAACGAAACTGTAGAATCTTAAAGCAAGAGCGAAAAGATGAGAAAGAAAAGAGTTCAGATGATGGTAATGTTGCAGCAGTGAATTCAGATAGTGATTCAGTTACTTTGATTTGTACACATGGTGATTGTAATCATGTTAGTGATCCCGACATTGAGTGGATAGTTGACACAGAAGCGACATATCATTGTGTTCCTAAGAAAGAGTTATTTACAACTTACAAAGCAGGAGACTTTGGTTGTACCAAGATGGAAAACAAGAGTGTGTCACAGATTATTGGGATTGGTGATATTATTGTACAAACTAGTACAGGCTACATGTTGACTTTGAGAGATGTCAGATACATTCCAGATATGAGAATGAACTTGCTTGCTATTAATGTCTTTGATAAGGAGGGATATGAAAGTCGACAAAAGAATGGACAGTGAAAGCTTCTCAAAGGATCTATAGTAGTTGCAAAAGGAAAACTATGCTGCACAATGTATAAGACATGGATGCAATTGAACGGTAACCAGGTAAATACCGTTGAAAATGATGCTTCAGCAAACTTGTAGCACAGGAGGCTGGCACACATGAGTGAAAAAGGGTTACAGGTTTTGGCAATGCACTCTCTCATTCCCTTGACCAAAGGTATGTCTCTCGATTCATGTGATTATTGTTTGTTTGGTAAGCATTATAGAGTTTCTTTTCGTAAAAGTTCTCAGAGAAAAAAAATAGATTGAAATTAATTTATTCTGACGTATGTGGTCCCATTGAGGTTGAGTCATTAGGTGGTAGCAGATATTTTGTTACTTTTATTGATGATGCTTCACGTAAGACTTGGGTGTATATGTTGAAATACAAAAGTCAGGTACTGCAGTATTTTTAAAAATTTTATGCCATAGTTGAAAGGATAACAGGGTTACCCTTGAAGTGTATTCGAACTGATAATGGTGGGGAATACACATCTAAAGGCTTTGAAGAGTATTGCTCAAAGCATGGGATCAGGCATGAGAGGACAGAACCTGGAACACCGTAGCATAATGGTATAGCTGAAAGAATGAATCGCACCATTATGAAAAAAGTCAGATGTATGTTGAGGATGACAAAATTACCAAAGCCATTCTGGGGTGAAGCAGTCAACACAACTTGTTATTTACTTAACAGGTCACCATCAGTTCTTTGGGCTTTGACATTTCAGAAAGAGTGTGGACAGAAAAAGATGCTTCATACTCTCACTTGAAAGTTT